CGGCCTTAACGGCAACGAAAACCTGGACAGACAGTTATACCTAAGGGGTTTACTCACCTACTGACCGTAAAGTGAACATATTCGAAACAGCGCTATGCAATTCACCCAACAGTGAACACAACTCCTTGTTAATGCCCATATTTTGACGCGGGGAGTATGAAGAACCCATTGCCATTGGCATATAGTTATTCAAGTTATTACCCATCTGCACAAAAACATCTAATTTTACTAGCATCTTGCCATAAATGGTAACGCTTGAGGGAGGTGCTTGAACATAGATATTCACTTGAATTACATGACTATGTGGAGACTTGCAGATTCCCGAAATCATTTAATGACCAACCTTCTGTAACATTTAACACCCTTAAAATCTTATAGGTTTTTCGACACATATCAATGAGGTGATACCTGTAAACCGGCCTCTCACATGGTGAGTTGCTAATATGAAAATAAAATATTTATTATTTAGAGGTAGTACTCATCACGGACTGACATCAGTTGGGGAACCACTGAAAATACGGGGACACTGGGTGGTGGGTGAGTACTCCTGAGGAGTCCCATGCGAGGCAGGAACAACTGTCCAGCGCTCACAGACTTTCAATGGCCCCCCAACTGATATCGGCCAGTGATGAATACTACCTGTAAACTAAAAACTACCATTCATCTCAGAAACGCATTTACTCACTTAGAAATCAAACGTTTTTATGTCTTCCCTCAGAGGTGCTGTTCTGCAGCTTGTTTTCGCTTTTCCGAATGAGGTATCTTTGTGATTAACTTTGCGCATTTTACTCACCATAGTTGTTGGACTAGGTTGTTTGGGTCCTGTAAGATTGAGGCACCAACTTTCCGGCATCGGTTCGTCTGGCCACAACATTTCGGAAAGGCAGTTTTTGCTCGACTTACCGAGTTGTGAGTGCCTTCTCACTTATTCAACCTGCCCACAAAATATATGCACCACATGAATGACGGATTCAGGTTTTATTTGGATCATAGGTGGAGGGATGGCCTCCCGTCTCGGCAGCAGTGCTCCTGCCGTTACTCATATGTTGGTGGTTCCACCATAGTTCCTTTCATCTGTTTGTATAGCTAACCACTGAATTAAAAGCATGTCTTTATCAGTAGGTTCTATCAAACTTGCACGTGGGGGTTGAATACTGTTTAACTAAGCAGAAGAGATGCAGTTTTCCCGGAAGACAGTGGCTTAAATAGCGTGTTTAATGTTATGATGTCAAACGACACCAATAATTCGCCGTCTCCCGGTTTTGTTACTCTGGTCCTTTCAAAGCACTTTGCTGGCGAAATGATGGAAGTTCTGCAGGACTACATGAGGTATTCGAGATGGCCGGAAAGCTCCGTGGATGGGTGGTGGGTTGGGATCCTTGAGACTGAGATTATTGGCAGTAAAGGGAATTATGGTTGGTGGAGCTCTCATTGAGGTAAACTGACGAACAGCAGGTCGATTTAACTTTTTTCGCCGCCTCGACCTGTTGTTTGTCCCCCTTAATCTAGGCTGTTTAATGTTTTGACGATGCGTTCGTCAATAGCTTCATTTGAGTTAGTCACAGGCAGCTGCAAAACACTTCCTTCTTTGAGTAGATCCACTACCATCTTCACAAATCCTTCCGGTGACCATGACTGCAAGGATGCGAGCCTTGTCTTCTGAGGGCACGTCCCCACTCCTCAGTCTTTGCACTACTTGTTGTGCATGAGTGCCAGGCTGGGTGTAATTACCTATCCTTCTGGTCTGAAGCATAGATGCATGTAGTATTATTTGCTGAGTTCACCCACTCCATGCAATCGTCTTCAGCAACGATTCCATTACAGTTAATTGTTCTTGTTTTGAAGCCCCCTTTGAATTGCTATTTTCCAGTCCTTGAAATAGTAGTAGTAGTTATTGCAAAGGTAGCGGTGCAGTTATTTATTTTCTCGGTTGTCAATGCGTCAGAAATTTTAGTCAGATTTTTGATTCCATGTTTTACTATTGTCTGTTTAATTTTAGAGCTGTCGTCTGTGATGTTTTCTATTGCTGCATAATTTCAGTCTTCTTTTACGGCTGTCGTTTGCTACTTAGTGCTTGCTGGTGCAATAAAGGGCATCCGTGATCATCAGCCGTAACATGCGTCATTAGCTTTCCTAGTCTAATTTCCATGGTATCAAGCAGCCATTCGGTTATCCATATCTGACGCCTAGGCGGAGTGTGCTGATGAAGACTTTCATAGGGAAAAGGCGTTTGCCGACTTGAGGAGGTTTAACTCTTACTGAAGTACTCCAACACTAATGCAACGAGCGGCCAGTTTTCAGTGCGACGTTTGCAGCTGAGGTTGACTTTGGTTGGATGGTTCAGAGGTCAGGCTCTCATCCTCTTCCTGGACAACACCATCATGACTGGCTTCGGCATCAACCTATTCGCCTTGACGGAAGGCATATGGCTTAGCAAAACTCTGAGTCAAACGTACCGTAATCCCTCGAACCAGCGGCAACGAACTCCCTTCATTTGAATGAGTTATTGCAATAGGGAGGAGGCCATACTTACTTGGGTCGGTATATATTTTCCACGGGACCTCAGGTTAGCTTAAATCCCCTTATTTTGATCCTACGTTCTCATGAAAGAGAGAGAACGTTTTGAGCAGGGCTTCTCCCTCAGAAAGAGCTCTAGTCGATTTGTGAAAGCAACTAACTGTCTGTTACGTAAAGTCCTCTGAGTAGCGCGTAAAGAAGTTACGAATTTTCGGAGTTCCCAAAACCCAAGGCGAATCCAACCAAATCCAAAACAATCGGTTGCCAAAAACGAATGTATATTCAAACAGTAAATGAAGCCTGCGAAGATTGTTCTTTACAACAAAATATATGTACGAAGCCTAATTACAAACCTTCAATTTTAACGGCTACCGCAGTTTTTATCCGAAGTGAGTGGGCAATGTTTTGAGTATATCACAAGAATAAAATCAAAACACACTCACCACTGTCCACGTAGTATTTTGTGGTGCATATTAACAGAAAGTGCATTCTTGAGTCCATCACATGGTCCATTATCAGACCTAGAAACATGTTTTTTGATGGGAAGCACGCTGAGCAGAAATATCTCCCACAGACGTCTTGGAGACATCTTGAACTTCCGCATATATTGAATTTTTCTGATCCAACAGCAAGCCCCAGTTTCCATTTTTCGGCATTCATACACGATTCAAATTATTTGACCGACATGATATCAGGTAGCACCCATTCTCCACCTGAGCGTCACAGCTGGCAAGAAGATCCAAAGTATATTCTTCTTTTTGAAGCTTCTAAATTCCAACCAGAGGTTCCGTTTTTCTTATGAACGGCGAATGCACAAGCCCTCGGTTTTCCATACAACACATAAGCCACCTAGTTGCGATTGGAATAAAAATGCTATTGATATAAGGGTTTAGACATTCGCAGTTTTGACCAAGTCACCGAGTGGCGCTCGACAGAGGGATAAGTTTTAGCAGTTCCTGAACCCAAATCGAAGCCAAACAGATCGGAACACTTTTTTATCCAAAAAGCAGCAGATGTTCGAATTGTTGTGGAACTTCATGAAAATTTATTACTTTTTATTGATTCACTTGTAATTCTCGTTGTTTTAATAAACGGGTTTGTTCGACCTCTGTTGGAATGAAAATCGTTCTGTGTAACGGAACTTATGGAATAACTCAATTTGAAGCCTCCAGTTTTATGAACACTTCGGTTTCAAACCAAAAATAAAGCAGAACAATGTGGCTATAAGTTATCCCGAAATCGAATTTGACCGGCCTGTGTTCCCAGCCAGCCTTCAAGGACATGGCTGAAACCCGCTTCTCATACAAAATTGTGTTCGTCTAGGTGCTTTGAGGAATGGGCTGTGGTGCGGGTGATGTGGGTTGACAAACGGAATTTGTTGTGGCCTAAAAGGTTATGATTACGACCTCCTGGACATTGGCGGTAACTGGTTGATGAATTTTCTTTTGTGAGGGAGTTGCTAAGAGAAAGTTGGGATTTATGTCCAAAGTGCTGGCTATCGTGTGCTAAAAAAGGGTGACAGTGGTTCTAATCCCATAGGCTTCTAACTTTCATTGAACAGCACTGGGTTACATAACACTACTGTGTACGGGAGGGTAACATTTTTTTTTGTATGACGCTTGCTACTGGATTTCCTTTTTTAAACTACTGGGTAATCTGTATTTTGGGTGGCACATCTCAACCTCCTAAGCATACTGCTGTCTTAGCGGACAAAATTGAGCCATTCCAGGGAGTAGTACTACCAGGACCAGGATGTCGAAAACGAACTTCAGAAATTATGCGACCTTCGTCTTTCGTGATAAACATAAGTTACTTGTTCCCACTGTGCTGATATGAAAAATAAGGGGTCGGAAGATACTCGTTTGAAGTACACCGTTAATCGTCTTAAGTGTACTTTCAGAGTGAACCGTTAACATCAATGTCCGGGTTGATTAGGAGATCGTAATTACAGTGATAAGTTCTCCGCGTTTACCGGTCTTTATTTCAATAAATGAGCAGGAACCATATACTGGAGGATTAATATCGGACTGCAGGTGGGTCTTGCTGGCTGAGGATAGTTCAGATAATAGCCAGGTAATAAATATGATCTGCCTAGAGCTATTGACTTGTTAGCAACTCTCGTACCTACCATACTGCAGAGTAAGGGTCAGTGTAAATCTGAAATTCGGAATTTCAGTTGGGTCGTACGAAGTCTAAGCATCCTTTAGTTTTCCTCACAGAAGGCTTCAAGAACATCATAGGACCAAGGAGAATAATTTTTGCTTCTCAAATGAAACTTATGTTACAGAATAATGAACACCACGAACAAATGAAATCACTGTCCACAAACCTGATCGAGAACCCTCTTACACTGAAAATATTTTGATAAAACGACTCGCTGTCACAGAACGCACAAATGTGTAATGCCTAATCAATCCAGACCTACTGCTGGAAATACTTTTACTTAGTCACATTCGTAAGTTCATGATTGAACTTTGAAGGTGCGGGATGTAAGGTTTGTTAACTTACACCAGCACTTTTTTTAATGTACTATATTTCGTTGTTTGCTGTTTACTGCATCTTTTCAAGTTGAGTTTTCGTCGGTAATCCAAAGTATTATTGGTGTGCCTATAGCTCCTAAGTGTTTTGCAAGCTTACGTCGCGAAGGTCCTAGTCAAACAGGAATGCTGAAATAATGCTTGGGAATGCGGAAATAATGCGGGTCAGTGGATTGATTAGGAATTCGGAAATAATACTGAAATGCGACACTTAAGCGGAGGTTTACGGACTACTCGTATAATTTACGGCACTTGCAGAGTAATTTAAGCGTTAATGCGTAAACGCAGCTCTATTTTCGCACAATTCCCACCTTATTTCAGCACTCTCCCGGCTAATTTAGGTACCTTTCGCATTATTTCAGAGGTTCAAGGAATTTTGTATTGCTCGCAACGTTAACACTATTTACCCCATTATTTACGCATTCGCCCGCATTATTTTCGCAATATGGTTTGACTTTAAATATATCGGCATCCAGTCCATACTTGTTGAATACATCCTGAAAGAATGTAAGTCCCGAGTCTGATTTAATCACTGTATACGCAAATTTTGATACAATCCTAACATGTGTCGAAACATGCTAGGATTATGTTAAAATCTACCCTAATAATGATTTGAGCATTGTTGTTTTAGAAAGCCTTCTAGCACATTTGTGGTAAAAAACAGTAAAACTTCTGGATATCGCATAAATTTCTTTTGCCTACCACATTAAATCCGCTGGATAAGATACTTAACATTTAAATGCAGTACAAAATTAGTGCAGTGAATTGAGATGTATTGTCGCACATATCCAACTTTAAGGTCATTTATTTTGACCAACTATCCGTGCTTAGGAGCAAGTTCTTTCGCTTCGTAACCAGCATGCACTTCCTATAATGCTTATGCCTAGTAAGAAGTTTGTTGGACAGTCCAATGGACTGAGTTCAAATCTATATTCTAGTTATCGCAAACTTTCAAGTGGACTAACCAACCATATGGTTTTAGCATACTAGTTGTTGAAGATTTGCTCTTCTATACTGTCTGCTGCATTGAAGTTTATTATAGTCAGAAGTTGCATTTTGAGATCGGTATAACGAACTGGTACTAGTCATCAAGGATTTTGTCCTACTGTGTCAAAGCTATTTTGAAATCATTTCTGAATGCTTGTGATGATTTTGATAAAATTGTCGACTAAACATACGTTTGTCTAGAGTACCATGATTGCCTATTTATAGAACGGTTGCTATTTCCATTAAACTTAATGTGGAGCAGAATACATCTCTCTGTATTTCAGCATTTTCAGCCCATCTACCTGTCATACTTCCACCAGAAGTAGACCTGAGATGGGGTGGGTAACTAGGACGAAGTAGTTTGTGCTTCATCGTGAGATTGGCTGGAAATTTTTAGTAGTCTTAGTAATAGTCTGCTACTGCCTGAAAACGTGGGAGACTTTATTTTTCTAAAAATTGGTATGCTCAGACCACACCCAGCATTTTCCCAGAGCCGAGATGGATAAGCTTGAGGATCACAAGTTGCACTTGTTTTCATTTTAGCATTTTAGCATTTATGGAGTACATACTTCAGTGTTTCTTCATAATGGATTTTCATGTTTTGAACAAAAACTAAGGATATTGTTTTGGATTAGATGTATTATTCTGGTCCAACTTTCGATCTTCGCCCTGGATTTGCTGTATTTTCAAAAGTTGATACACAACAGAAATGGTTTATTATATATCAGAATATTATTCTCCATTTCAGCTCAAAAGGTTTTAGTGACAAAGGTCAGTAATAGAATACAAATTTGTGTAAATTCTCAAGTGAAAATGGTTAATGAACCACTTCCAAGACCTTATTTTTTGGATAATATTTAACCCTTTTAAACTGTGAATGGTCAATGTATTATAAAGTTCACAACTCAGTTGCCTTGCTGTTCTACTCAAACAGTATTGTTAGCCAGTGTCTGAGCTTGTGGGGTTACTGACAGTTTTTTTCTGACATTTGTTTTTATTACTTGAGTTCCCCTTCCATTAGTATTATCCCAAAGGTTTGAATAATGTTGCTTGATATGCACGCAGTGAATCTTTCATATTCTAATAAAACCCCAGATGTATTTTGCTTAGTGGGTTAGTATCTGTTCGATGAAATTTTTTGCTTAGGTTGATTGAGATCTGTCCGGATATACTTGGAAAAATAGCACATTTCTCATTCTATACTGGCCAGTTATATGAAGCGGAACATATTAGTCATTTTAACCAGAATATCTGTTGTTTATAACTATTCTGCTATATCATGACACAGCCATCGGAAGAGTTCTGTGTTTACGAGGTAATTGCCACATTATCTATGAAGCAAATTTGCTACAGGTAAAACCCGGAGATTCTCTGTCAGCTATTGCTGCTCATTTCGGATATGTCACGCCCACTCAAATTGCTAGAATTAATCATCTACCATTCATGAGTTGTGGCCTTCCTCCTGTTTTCCCTGGTCAGCGTTTGATTATTCCCACTGTTGCGCGCACAGATGCCGATGTAAGTTACCTGTACTTTTTTCACTTGATATGGAAGGTGTTTATAATTGTAAACAGACGAGAAGCAGTAACCGAAGAAAAAATATAGCACAGTTTATCAATGTTGGACTAGAATTTTCGAGATTTATGTTTGCTGAAAATAGCTAGTCTAGCCGATTAGTTGGTATAGAACATATATTATATTTATTATCATATATTTATTTGTCCCTTGAGTTCCTAATGGAACATAGGGTTTCAGTACCACGTCTCCATTGCACTCTGTTCTCTGAAATTTTTTGAACCTGGTTCCACGACAGCCCACATGCTCTCATTTCTTCCTCGCTAGATCTCCTCCATGTCGCCCTCACATTGGACGCCCAACTCGTCGCTTCCCATCTGGGTTCCACTCAAGGGCCCGGCGCATGATGTCCCCATTCGGCCTTCTCAGTGTATGCCCAATCCAATCCATCTCCACTTCCTTCTGCATACTTGTTCAGCGATAGGTTCTTGGTTGTTTCGTTGCCAGCCAGAGTTCCTTGTTGCTTATTCTTTCTGGCAATCCATCTGATCTTCAGTAACGAGCCAGCGTAGGCAGTTGTTGATGGAAGTTTGTAGTTTGTTGGAAGCGCTTTTCGTAACGCGCCAAGTCTCTGAGCCATACAGAAGCACTGACTTGACTTTGGTGTTGAAAACCCGCATCTTGTTCTTTATGCTGAGTGCAGAAGATCTCCACACTGGTTTCAGGCTGACGAACGCCTGTCTTGCTTTTCCGATCCTGGCTTTGACATCCTCGTCTGTGCCGCCTGTAGTTGAGACGATGCTGCCTAGATTGGTGAAAGAGACTACTTCCTTTAAGTTTCTCCCATTGATAATGATTGGGGCTTGTTGTTGTTGTTGGTTGGGTATCTTCATCACCCCTGTCTTCTCTACATCCCCTTGAAGTCCTGTCTTCGATGCCTCTTCTGACAACTTGTTAGTTTTCGCCTGCAGATCTTCAAGTTTGTGTGACGTTAGACATAGGTCATCGGCGAAATCCAAACCTTCTGGGCTCTTTTCCGCGGTCCAACTATTGTATTCCCCTCTTCTCGCTCCTCGCTGTTTGTTGCATGGTCCAGTCCATTACAACCAGGAATATCATGAGTGATAGCAGGCAGCCTTGTTTTACTCCTGTTTTCACTTCACTTCAAAGGCATCACTGAGCTTCCCATTGTGAATTACTTGGCATATGGCGTCTTTATATAGTTATTGAATGAGATTGATAAAGATATGTGGTATTCCGCAGTGTTGAAGCAGTTTCCAAATTACTTCTCGGTCGACGCTGTCAAAGGCCTTTTCAAAGTCGATGAAGTTGAGGTAGAGAGTTGACTGCCATTCTATACTCCGTTCTATGATGATGATGCGAAGCGTTGCAATTTGGCCTGCAAATGATTTGCACTTCCTGAATCCAGCGCATCCTTTAGTCTCTTCAGGGTGATGCGGCTTAATATTTTGCTTGCTCCGGGTGGACAGGGACAGGAGCATGATCCCGCGCCAGTTCTTGCACAGACTTAGGTTTGACGAGGTAGCCCTTCTTCCTATCAACCGGCAGGTACCTTCCCTTCCAGACCTTCTCCAATAGTGATGTGAGCATGTCCGCTGTTGTCTCTGTGTCTGTTCTCAGTGCTTCTGGCGAGATTCCATCCGGTGCTGCTGCTTTCCCGCATTCCAGTAGCTTTATGGCGCTCAGGACTTCGACTTTTGTTGGAGAATTTGTGTTCACTTGTGGTTTTGTGGCTGGGCGGCAGGCGGTATTTCTGGATGACTTGCAGGTGGTGGTCGATTCAAGAGCCTTTTGTAGTGGTCAGCCCATTGTTTCTTTTGTTTCTCTTCTTTGGTAATTAAATTTCCTCCATCATATTTTATTGGTTTCATCTGCGTTGATCTCTTCCCAGGTAGAAACCTGGTTATTTGATACAGTGTTGTCAGGTCCCTCCTACCAACAGCCTGTTGTGCTTCACTTGCCAGTGTGTCGTGGAAGTGTCTTTTGTCTTTCCGCACGCCCTTCTTCACTTCTTTATCCCGTGTAGTGTTTTTTATATTGTACTCAGTTCCTCTTGTCATTGTGCATCCTTACACTGGTTTATCTTCTGCTTCACCATCCTCCTCTCCTCCATGAACTTCCATATGTCCGTCGAGATCCATTCCTTCTTTCTTCTTCCTTCCTAATACAGTTATGCAGGTTCCTTTCCATATAGCTTACAAAGACTTTTAGTGCTCACCCACTGAGGTTTCTTCGGTGATGTAGCTCGATATCTCCCATTTTGTCTTGATGGCTGACTTGAAGATGTCCCTTGTAGTTTCGTCCTTCAGTTAGTGTTCTGGGTATTGAACTTGAACTGTCGTCTATCACCAACTTCCTTGAAGGCTTTCAATTTGATTTATAACATAATAGATAGATATATTTCATACAACATAGGTTACATGGAAGGTCCCTTGCACTAGATAGTGGTCTGAGCCTACATCTGCTCCTCTTTTTTACTTTGTGTCAAGTAGGCTGCGTCTGCACTTTCTTGAGATTGAGATGAAGTCGATCTGATTTTTAGTGTGTCCCGGTGTCTGATGAAATCCATGTCGCTGACTTGTGGATATCCTTGTGCTTAAACATACTGCCTCCAATCACCAAATCGTTGAATGCACAGAATTCTGCGAACATTTCTCCATACTCATTCATTTCACCGAGCGCTTCTCGACCCATGGTTAATTCTCTTCCTGTATTGTCCCCTCTCAGTTTGACATTCATGTCGCCCATTAGAATTTTGATGTCATCAACTGGGGTCTTGTCCAGTGCTGGTTGCAGTTATCTGCAAAATTCCTCCTTCTCTTCATCTGCATTATTTGTAGGTGCGTAGTGTGGCATTGTAAGATTGTGACTTTCCTTCCTTTCGAATTGAACCTTGCTGTTATTATCTTGGAGGAGATTGGTTCCCACTGCATGAGAGCCTGCGGTGCTCTTGGGGACATCATGATAGCCACTCCAAAACTCAGTGTGCTCGTGGTTGTCGTCTGGGTGACCGGAGTAGATTATTGATTCTCCAGTTGACAGTTTGGAGACTCCACTCCCATTCCATCTGCTTTCGCAAATCCCAAGCACTTCAATGTGATACGTGCTCATCTCTTTTGCAATCTGGGCTGCCTTTCTGGGTTCAAACATGGTGCGGACATTCCATGTCCCCACGTTTACTTTCGCTTTCATCGGGAGAAGACACATCGACCAATTGGCTTCCCTAAGGCAGGCTTTCACCAACCGGCGTCATTTCACCTCTCCGATTCCAGCGAGGAATAATTTTGTTTTTATTTTTTATATTTTGTTTGTGCTTTGAAGTTTCTTTGGTGGTTAGATTGGTTTTACGGGGTAGGGTTGCTAGCCCTACGCCCAACCTTCCCTCCCCACCTGAGGCTTAGGACAGGCTAGGCGAGGTTGGTATAGAATATACGAGAAGGATATACAGAACCAGTCATCGACTCACTGTCGACAAAATACTGTTCATTTTGGAGCGGATTCGGAATCAGACATTCTTAAAAATCATCTTTTTTGACTAGTCAGCAGAATATTCTTCGCAACCAAACCTTATTTAACATTTATCGGTCAGAAATTATTCTCTGTGCTTAGAAGTCAATGTCTCTCGATTGGTCACCTCCATATGCATCTGCCAGTTCATTTTCTGTTGTGGAACAAGGTAGACTGATCGTTTCCAGAGACTACTACCAGCATGTATATGAGAGGATATTCTCCATTCTGGTTTTATAAGAGTGAAGGGAAATCCATTCCAGGCGGTATCCGTGAATATTTGACCACTCTGATCTGAGTGGCGAAATTTATAGATCAGCTTGAGTAATTTCAACTAATCAAATTGTTAAGTGGTATATCTCATTTTATTGATCCCAACCATTCGAGAGACCCCGAACAATGATTTTGGGGTTGTTTATCGAATACGCCCAAATATCCTACGTTGTTTCCATTTTCAACTTAGGGAAATGGAGACCGAGGCTATTCATAAACTGATACCTGCCCTTGTGTACCGAAGCGGTATGTAGTCTCTGTTTTCATATTGCTCTTAACCTCATTTTGTCTTGTTCCTCTTCAGTTTCCTCTTTCTTTAGGTAAGCCTTTGCACTATTATAATCATTACTGTTGTCACTATTACGTTTACATTCACTTCTTTCCAGTGCGACTTCGTTTGATCTTTCCAATAGCTAAAACTTTTAACAAAAGAGATTCATTTTATCTCACTTAACTTATTCACATTACCTGATCGTTTGTTGACTGACTCCACCATGTTTTCACCACTTTGTAATCTAAATGCACTCTACGAACGATCCAAAAACATTTTTAAGTCCTTCTTGTCATCGTCCAACAACTACGCTATCAAATAGCAACATTATTATAACCATAACCATCATTGTTGTAATTCCTATCACCTATTATTGAAGCTTCCTCATAGGTTAGTGAGAAATATATAGTTCTGTAGTCTACAGTAATTTTAAACACAAACAGCGTTCAACAAATCTATTATTGGTGAATACGATACAAATGAATACTACTAAAGTATGGACATCTCAAAATAAATTCTCTTATAGAGTTGTTTTGGGCTGTTTAGTTTTTACTCACGAAGATTTCCACTTTTCTAACACCTCATTAGGAGATTTGGGTATGTTTTCATAATATTTGTATGAAAACGAGATAGAAACGGTAATAATCACGGTGTGTAGACCTAAAGGTGTATGGACGGAAATTTATCTACTCTCCGTTTTACGGTTATTTAGAAGCGCACCGAACGTACTTACGGTGGATTATCTCAATAAGTCAGTTCAAAACCCATCATGGATTAAATTACAACAGTTTTTGTTATCCAAATACAACTGCACTTATGAATAACTTAGAAACATTTAGTTCTACGCGTATCCATACTTTTTTGAAACATTTCCCTACTCCCATTCGCATAGATTCGCTGTTACTAAAACTGCATTCATACATTTTCGGTGCAAATCACATTCATCTTAGAACCGGTGCCTCATCAAGATTAGGCTCATGTCTCGAAAGACACGCAGTTATTCTCCAGTTATGCTGTTCATACTTCATCATCGTGAGTTTGTTTCACCGTCACTGAAATCATCTATACTCGTCTTATTGAGAAATACCTAGGTAAATTATTATGCAGTCATCATTTTCGGGATTTTTTAAAGACTTGTATTCAGCTGTCACTTCTTGAATAGATATTAATTGAGTCGGCATTTAGCAAGCAAATTGTTCTCCCAGCAATTTTCACAACGAAACTCAAAATCTATAATACATCATCCTACTTTTTCATGTTTATACTAGATTTTCGTTGTCGTACTATTGTATCGTCGCGACCAGGGAAAAAGATGTCAGTGGTCAATAAGATCGTTTACGAGATGCATGGGCTAGCGATTCACTGGCAGAAGAGACAACTGGAACGATGGGGAGAACTCTTCGACAGATAGTTCAACTGGTCTCCAGCCACTATTCCGTTGCATGACCAGTATGTGACGTCGAGACAGGGCCTCCAAATTTTAGTAAAGCTGTGGTTCAACCGATGGGTCACGGAATCAAACACCGTTTCACTTACCGAGGTTTGGGTAGCCAGGTAATAGTATCATTAACCCTTACACAATAGGTGTGGCTCATCACCTACTGCACGAATGTCCACAAGGTTGGTGAGTGCGTCCTGGTTTTCGATTCTCCGAATCTCGCAAAAGTTAAGAAGGCTGTAAGTGACCTTAAGCAAGGAAGGGTAGCAGGCTGCAATAGGATAGCACCACTGGTAGTTAAAGACTATGATTGAAGACCATTAGTTACACTAGTGGAAATGTTAGCTGGCATATGAGAATCAGATATGATGGCCTCGAACTGACCTCAATCACTGATTGTAGTAGTCTCCAAAAAGGTGGAAAGCTGTCTTGTGATAACCACAGGGGAATCACTTTGAGAAACATAGTGTCTAAGACTTTAGGGGCTATAATCGTAGGACACTACGATGAGTCTGAAGACCAACAAACTCACTAAAAGCAATTTTCACTCCCAGGTATTGAAATACATCTACTTGCCGTTGCCCGATACTAGCTGTGTTTTTTAACCTAAAGGTGACATTTAACTCCGTCTATTGAGAGGTCTTATAGCAGCGTCTCTTACTGACGGGTTCACTACACAAGTGGACCACTCTGTTGAAGGCTCTGTATTAAAGCACTCGCACGCATGTCGGAGCTCAAGATGAGTTGTGTACTTGGGGTAGTATGAGTCAAGTGTCCACTCTCTTCATCATTGTTTAGTTTTGTCATGATTTTCTTATGGAGATATACATCCTCTTATCTAACTTTTCAGAGATTGATGTCACGGCGGAATCCTTAGTAAACATAGAGTACGCAGATGAAATAGTCCTATTAAGTGAAGATGCGGACAAGATGAAAAGTCTTCTGAACATCTTAGGTAGCAATTCAAAAATGTTTGGACGGCTTTTCTCATCACCTAAATGTACATTGCCGACCCAGGACTAGTGTGCGTTGGTACGACGTGTTACAGTAGGGAGTGAAGTAGCTGAGTACGTTGACTTCCCTTAGTTGAGGAGTTGAATCAGTCGTGGTGGATTAGTGATCGATAGTATCTCTGTGTGGATACAAAAGTTCCATTTGGCTTTTGCCAGCTGACGTCATCTATGCGCTGCCATGACATGAGATTGCTTACCAAGAGTCGAATGTACTGCACTGCTGTTCCTTCTCTTCTGCTGTGTGGTTATGAAATTTGGCTAATAAAGGTAGAGAATATAAGAAGGCTTGAAGTGTTCAATCACCGTTGCCTTCCTAACATATGTCGCGTGTGTGGGTACTACGACGTCAGCAACTCAGACGTCAGGGGTAAAGTTACAGGCAGAAGAGGAATGTCAGTTGATGAGGTTATGAGCCTTCATTGACTCATACAGCTGGAATATGTTACGCATAACTAGTCACCGTACACAGCAATGTTATTTGAAGCCATCTACAGAAATGTAGACTTTCCGGCTGGGGTTCAAATAACAATATAAATCACTGGTTTTAAACTCTCCATGATATTACTGGTGATTCATTTCGGCGGCATAGGTGCATCCACACATGAAATTCATCCCAATCATCCTATCAGATTTCATCACTGTCTTATCTTGGTTTTCCTTGTCATTCGGGGATCGAATACAGGACCACCAGTTATCGTGGGGATCACGTTACCATTCAACCACTGAGTCGGAATCCAGGGGTTCACATTTTACTACACCTATGAGTTTGCGATATAATGCGATCATCATCTGATGCTTTTAGAGAGTATTGGTCCTAATATCCAACGTGGTTTGCTTCAAGTCACGACTTCTCATGTGAATTTCGTTGAACCCGTCTCGTATTATGTCACTAATGAGCACTGCTGAAGACTCCCTTGTTAGGAAGCAATGGTTGTTCATTGCTCCCAAGTTATCTATTTTTCTACAACTTATATCAGTCCATAATTGACATCACCTTAAAACCAATCGATCCCCACAAACTTTCGAATTGAATTATTGTTAATGTCATTCAGTTATTCCAGATTATTAGAACAACGCATAGAAACAATGTATATGGACCAAATTATTCTTTTGATTTTTCAGTCCGTCAAAATAAAACGTCTTCCGGGCGTTGCATTACGTATAGAAGATATGGAAAATCAGAATGTCAGTGATAAGAATTCAGGATTTTTAGCTGTTGAACCTTTCTTTTACACCACACGTGTACGGTCCTTTGCTAAGTCTTCTACCTCTGTTGACGATGACGCTTTGGAACGTCAGTTTATTAAAGTAGATGCTCATCGTATTTTAAGAAATCTTGATGTGAGTTCACTTAGTTAAAAGTTTAATTCCTCTTCTTATCGCTAAATACTGCATCATTTATCATGCACTTTTAAAATTCCTCAGTTTTATTACCTCTAGTTAAGGATATACTCAGGATTGTAGGCTAGAATTATCATATTCGGGCGATTGTATTACATAGTTGCTTTGATTTGTATCGATGATCAAAGTTACTAACTAGTGGCTTGATAGGTAGTAAGCTGTGATTGGCGTAATTTCCTAGTGTCGGTGACTTCCAATAGTAAGTAGTTTCTTCCTAAAGTAAATGTATTCAGTTGTACATTATTATAACTGACTGGCTAGAAATACAAGTTTTATGCTGTTTGATGTTTGTGAGCATAACTTACCGACTATCTCTAGAAAACTTTTACTAGCTGCAGGACTCATGCTCATATCGTTCATTGCTTCTGCCCGAGACGGCCAAGTTATCTATAACATTATTGTTTTTGTTAAGGATTGTATTGTGTAGAAAAGTCAGTCATAATACCGCATTTTCTCTGCAGATCTGTGACCAAAGAGTTCTGTGTAGCTACTCGACTAAATGTTCTTATCCCAGAGCCCTTGAGCTTACTGACATCTTTTGATAGTGAATACAAACAAACAAAATCTGAACGGAAGGTCCTCCTGTTATTTGCATAGAATACTAAGTGGAATACGTTTCTACGTTTAGTTACAATCTAGCGTTCATCTCATATTCTTTGATCAAAAAGCTTCTGTAAGCACATAGGATCAAAGTGTATGACATTTGTGGTTTGGAAGCCAACTTGATTACTAGTATCTAGTCTATAACAAGGAAATACTGACCGACTTTTAACTGTTTTTGATTCCTTTTTCACTTTTTGAGATTTCCGATAACTGAAGTTTTTTCACTCTTTTTCCAATCTTAAATTATATCTTCCCAGAATCTGGTAGATGGTGTTTTGTTGGTCACTCCAGAATCACTATGTTTTGATGCAAGTGAAACTGCATTTGCACAGAAACAAGCTTATATAGCTTCCCACTCTGATAATGGTGCTGAAAGTGGTGCTGTTAACAATAGAAAGATGAGTGATCCTCTTGATGATCCAAACGATAAATTACCAACTTGCCACACTAATCTTGAGTCTTCTTGTTGTCATATTCCGCAAGAACTAATTAATTTGGGACTATGCATTCCACTGGATTCGATCAGTGCTCTGAAAACACTTAGCGAAAAGGATGTCATAAGCTTTCTAAGGTAATTTTACTTTAATGTTTAAAAAGATACAAAATTCATATATTTCGATAATCTACATTTTTGAATCCCATTCCATCAGATACACCTACAGTGCATAGAGTGATGCTACTGCCGGTTTCTCGAAATAAGGTAGCTAGGCGGTATATATAGACTGTATATAAACTTTTGATCTAATGATTGATGATGATGTTACGTAACCCGGTGCATTTTCATGTACTGAGCTATGAATCAGACGTATCCTGCGTGGGATTATTGTACTACAGGATTGTCCAGGTTGAAGTAAGCAGAGCAGGATTTGAACCTAGAATCCATTGCTTATGAAACCACTTCTTGAAATACTGAACCATAGCTCCACGATCTCATAATTGAAAGGTCAGTTTTCAAATCATTGACTCTCAGATGTGCTATATCTACAGGTGCCACTGAATATATTTCAACACATATGTGTATCTGCTAACACTTGTTTTCATTAAGAAATATGCAATTTTTTTGTTTCTGAAATATATGTAAACCGGGTAGTCTTCCTCTAGTGCTCTGATTTGGTACTTTTTCCTTTATTCCAAGTAGTTACTTCTGCTCTCTAATAAATCATTTATTTCCGAATTTGTTTTCTGTAGAAAATCCTCTCCAACTGTGTTATTGTTTGCAAAGAAGTACTCTGTATATTGCAAAATCATCAAATGGTGTCTTAAAACAAACCCATTGACTATCATAACTACTTGTATGCAAACTATAATTTAAAATGTTAGTTAAACTACCTAAAAGTATTATTGTATTGTGAGTTATTCACCTAGTCGGTTCCTAGTAAGCCCATCCGGATATTTGCTACTGATAAGTCTCATTGAAAGTTGGATCCCAATATGATGACTATTTGATAGTCATATTGCTTCTGTAGCAGCGTATATATGTGATCCGCTTGTCCATTCTTTACAAGATTCTAGTCAATAAATTTCCCGTAGTAATGCTTAAGACATCTCTTTTTAATTATCCTTTCTATTATAATCCTTTTTAGTTTGTATCATACAGTGAGACAGTGTTTTTTATTGATCAGTAAAAAAACTAGTGTTGTGCGAAGCGATTAGCATCGAAAAACATAACAGTCGTAGAGTTTTGGGTAAAGTAGGCTAGTCAGCGGATGAAATAACCTTTCATTGGATGAGGTGGTCAGGATGCGTTATATGTACATGACCACCGTTTATCTCAGTGCGCCATGTCAGACTAATTATGGTTAGGTTCGGAAAAGTTGAATGTAATCAGCCTAATGTATGGTGCCAGTCCATCAAACTTCTGACTGTTGATCTGAGGTGTATAGGGAAATGTAGACCTTCACACTAGAGTCCACATGACTACCGAAACTGATGTTTCAGAACCTTTATAATATTCTGCTAAAGATCGACTTGAGTGGTCCAAACAGTATCTTTGTCCTAATCGCTATTTCACATGTATTTATCGATTTAACCTCTGCCTTTCATTTTTTGCTTTTCCAATAAAAGAAAATTCAGCGGGTAAATTTTTTTTGTTTTTAACGAATCATTTCCAAAAGCTGTCGAATCGTAACCGTAGTTACAACAAAGTATATATCCATCAATAGCCAATGGGTCAACACAAGGTCATCAGAAACTGTCGATAAATTCTCAAGGAGATAACGATTAGAGGTCAACTCAAGGTCATCAAAGTTTGCTCATAGGATTACAATCAATGAACAGGTAATAAACAAAGAAATGGATGAAACGTCTCAGAGAGACTACGACCAAAGTAGAATTAGAGATTGAATGTATCTCTTTTGAACGCAAAGATCAGGCTTGAACCACTGGATTGCCAAAACGTCTGCTGTATTGAGATAGCAAATACGCACTCCCTTCGAAATACGTGATTTCACTTTGTAAATGACTTTGGAAGAAGATTCTCGTGGGGCAAAGTGACCACGGCTAACCAAATGCTCAAGAATCGAGCTGTTTATTACTTTACGCTCTCTTCAGTCAGCCAACACTTGCATTGTTTCTCTGCCGACCGATAGTGGCTACTTTGGCGTGATGGTTAAGCTTACAATGACAGTGACTCAATGACCTATCCTGCTGGGATCATTTGTTCCTTGAGATTCTACCATATCAAAAGGTCTTCTGGATAGTGGTTATGCCAAAATTAGTTACCTTGATAGCGTAACTAGCTATAACTATAATGGCCGTCTGAAGACTAAATTGTACTGCTGTCTGGATGAGGTCTGATGTTTTTAAGTTGTTTCCTGCGTATGACCAGGCTTGTGCTGATTTTGTTAGTCTCAAAAAGGAAGTAGAAAAGGTTGACTTTAACATTATCTGTATGGATTTTCTGCTAGGATTTACGACAATCAAAGTTCAGTCTCAAACTTCCAAAACGACCATGTTTGACCGACCTCAAGCAGATGTCTTTCGGGCTCTGCGATCAGTCTTCACTATTACAAATCCGGTTTCTTTTATAGGCGCATTAAGAAGAAGCAACCTTCCACAGTGTCGGTAACCAAAAAGTATCAATGAGCAGTGCATACAGTTCAACTAACCATAACATACTTTCCTTATCTTTGTTGCCCCTCTTGCTCCATTTTCAGATATCAATATTACATCTCTAACAATTCCTTCAACCTCTCGACATTCCACCATTGCTAACGATCTAACCCACTAATCTACTAAAACTGCACTACCAAATTTATGTTAGAGCCTATGCCAAGTCGGACACTCAGGCATCACCAAAACTCTTGAATCTCGAGACGTGAATGTATGCTGTGTTTTTGATACATGATCATGCGTTAGTATGGGTGTGTGTATATTTAAACCATACTGGTCGCAGGAAATAGACAACAACGAAGCCTCTGTATTTCAGACTGGAAGCTGAAAATCTCAATTGCTTATTTAAGGAAGAGATAGAGAATCTGTACAGGGCAGAAATTCTGTTCCCGATGAAGCCTGAATTGATATTTAGTCTGCTGCAAAAACAGCGCCAGACAGTTGATAACGTACATTTAAAGGTCAGCAGAAGCCACTGAATTTCTGCGAACTTTTCCAAGTTGTGTGATGTGAGAAGGCTCGTCCAGGCTTTAGCTATGACCGCAATAAGGAATGAAAGCAGCCTAAACGTAAATTGAGTCTTCTGAATGACTACAAACGGTAGTTGATGGCGAGTGATGGAGAAGAGACTAGTATTAGATGTTAATTGACAATGATTTAGACGTTTTGTGATACTGACAAGAAGATAATGGTCGTGGAGATCATCACCAACTGGGGTGGGACCCTGATAGCCTCTCAGGACAGACGGTTAGAACATTGAGTGGGACATTTTGAAGAATAGTTCAACTGAACTACAGCCATGTTTCAGTCACCCAGCATCCAGCCCGAACCTGAAGGGGATGATGAAGTTGGTCTTACAGCCCTTCTGGATGTTAAGAAAGGTGTTTCAAATCTGAAATGATGCCAAACAGTAGGACCTACTGTTTGCCATAAGTTTTTAATGAGTGAGGTAGAAAATTACTTAGTAGAGCGATGGAGATAACAGTGTATAGGAATTTAGACGTAACCCTGTCAGACTGGTTCGGCTCGTTAATTATTGGAATCTTTAAGAAAGGAGAGAGTTCTTTCTGTGACAGTTTGACTATCACCCTGTTCAAGATCCTAGTGTACTTAGTTGTCCGATCCCTAGCCTAGACTGGAGATTTATTGACTCAAGAAAGCCAGGTAGGTTTCGGAACACAGACATATTCATAATTGGCTGACTTTAGCCATATTTCGTAGAATGAAGGTGTAATTCGATCTTATTGACTGAGGGGTGTTATGGTAGTGTCTAATTGTGAAAGGAGTACCAAGCAAACAAATTATGCGGACCAAGCGTTTCTACTAGGGTTCATGAAGCCGTGTAATTGCTTATATGGAGATGTCACCTGAAACGACGGCGGAGAGTAGTGTCCACTAGGAATACCCACTATCACTGTTCGTGTTTAACTTCGTCTTAGACGTATTAATAATCAACTTTGCGGAGATTGAAGTTAGAAGATGACCTAGTCACCAGGTGAAGACGCTGAAGAAACGAAGTTTTCTTAGACATAAATCTGAGTATGTTTGACATCCATTTTGAGCCTGTCGGAAGTAAGATGCTACTTTAGATTTGGTCTTCAACTACTCTCAGTTTAAGGAAAGGGAGTGAAGTGGTAGAGTGCGTTGACCACTTCACGTACTTTGGGAGCTGCATTGGTCTGAACGGGCTTTCGGTCAGTGGAATCTCAGCTCGGATGTAGGAAGTCCGTTTACCATTTGCTAACTTGCATCATCTGCGGTGTCGGTGAGATATCCGACTGCCTGTTCTAACGATGAGTATACTGCACCGCAGCTCGCTTTGCACTGTTGTACCGCTGTGAGACATCGTTGCTGAGGAAAGATGATATTAACAGGTTTTAGACCACAGGTGTCTGCAAAGCGAAACTCACTTGTTCTGCAGTTTTGTTGGTGAAAGTTAAAGTGGCCTTTTTTTCATGTATTTCATCAAGGTTGAATATTCACTTCATTTGGGAATAACTTTTAACTTTTAGATACGTTCTGTTTACTGTGTAACATAGAATTTAATAAACAATAAACTTATGATATCATAGTTGTTTTTGTCTTCCTCAAGTTCTTTAAAGTTAGTTCCTTTTGTATGGAGTAAGATTAAGTGTAGTGCAACAGAACGGATAAGATTATACAGGGAAAGTGGTGAAATCACTCAGCCGAACGCTCACATTGGACTATTGATCAGCACGATCTAGTCAGTACAAAGAATAAGAAAACATTCATTCATACTACTATTCTGATAACTTCACACCCATTCACACTTGAACAGACATTCATATCTTAACATAAGAACTAGTAACGGATAACGTTAACATTTACTTTCATGTCATTATTATGCATGAACAACATGATCTGATGCGTCTTCATTTATATTTAAAAATGCGACAACTTGTACAAGTTTTATTCTGTGAACAAGCTGCTTCCACGAGATCTCGAAATGTCAGAGATTTATTTTTCTCCCTCATTGGGATTTTAAAAATATAATTCTTTTATAAGAATATTTTATTCGTTACCATCTTAATCCTGTCGGAGGTCAATATCAACTAGACTATCTCAAACCTCAGCATTAGACTATACAATTCCGAGTATGTGAGACAGCCTGTCTGACTGACAAATCAACATAGAACCTCATACACAAATGCATTGGTTCATGCTACCACACTTCGCAACAGCATGCAGCGAAACAAGAGGATAGAAAGAGAGTGACATCAATGAAGATATAGTACTATGAGAGAATAAACACTTCGAAGATGAAAATTAATGCATATATTCAAGGCTTAAAAGGCGTCAAAAAGTGAATACATCAGGACCACTGTAACCAATTACCACCCATGTTATCAGGAGTCATCCCTTAATCAATGATTCTTATCGTCTCGGGGACTCCAACCACGCGGTCTACATCGTCCACACAAGACTCAGACCAACAGTGAAAGATTTCATCGACTGGTGCTGCGTCTTGGTCTGGTCAGTCTGAACACTTCCAACCCAACCTAACTTTTTCAGCACGTCGAAGTAGGCGTTGGATTGGCATGCACTGTACATGTCCAAGATAAATCGGTCGACTGAGGTTCATAACCTCATCAATCGACTTGTGTATCTTGCCTAGTACCCTTCGCCTGACCTCGGTGTTGCTCACATGGACATCACTAGTTGTTGTCAACTCACATGGCAACTCTCCATAAGCCCTTACGCGGCTGCTTGAGTTCGAGTAGAGACCTTTGATAAGCATGATATACTTGCTCTGTACTCCCTTAACAGTCAGACGCTGCCACAACACCTCACAGTCGACAGAATTAGCAGCGGCTTTCAGGTCGAGCAATATGCTAAGTGTTGGCCACTGGTCTGTAGGTATGCCTGTATTCCAGAAGCTGTCGCAGGGTAAAAGTATGGTGGATGGACCCTCGTCCAGATCTGAATCCTGGTTGGTTTTCCGAGCTTGGTGTTCTCGAGCTCTAGTTAGGCATCGGACAACTAAGAAACCTTGGATCTTGGTTACAATATTAGTCAAACTAACTCCTATTTGCTTGTCGTTCCCTTATTATGGGCTTGGATGATCAGTGAAATGGGATAGCGTAATGGCAGTTCTTTTGATTCCCATACGCTTACTACCTAGTACCTCCATCACCTTAATTAACCATTTCTCACTTCTATCCTTGAAAACTTTAGGCGGCAAACTATGAGGTCCTGCTGCCAACAGCCTTCTAGTTTCGATGCAGCTTTAAGTGGAGTTGAAGAGTTGAATCTGTTTCCCATTCAGGTTCAGGCTGGATATTGGGCAACCGAAGCGTTGCTGAGGGCCAGTAAAAAAATGAACTTCAGAGTGTTATATCTAACGCTACAGCCGCCTGTCCTGGGAGATTGTCAGCGTTCCATCCTTTTCGGTGGTGGTTTCACTGACTGTCGTTTTCTTGACGGTGTCCATAATAAGCCTAAACAGTTGCTGTGTTACCCAACGCTGATACTTTCTCTATCTCTCGCTTTCACCAGTCACCACTACCCGCGATCGACGCGAAGTCTCTTAGTCAACTTACGTTTGAGTTGCTTTCGCTCTTCGTCGTGATCAGAGCGAATTGGAATCAGTCTGACGTTAGCAATTCATTAAGGAATGCGGAAATAACTTTACTGATAAATATTCATAAGTATAAAGTCTTATTGGACGCTCTAAATGTCTTTTCAAACGATCCAACTGTAAATACAAACCTCATTATAATGGTGTATCATATGTGTTACTTATCGTTTGTACCTTAGGTTCTCATATGTTGGAACTAAAAATTTTAATTTCTATCTTTTCAGTTTGCAAATGATATTATTTTGTAGACACTTATGAATATAAAATTTATATTTTCTTTTCACGTAGCTTAGCTGTTAGTGAAAAAAGGTGTGTGAAATATGTTTGAAAATTTAAATTGTGATTTATTTATTCTTTGCTATTATATTCATTGTATGTATTTCTTGAGTAATTGCGTAAAAACGCGTACTGTCAAAATATTTAGCTTATTGAAATTCTAAACATTTTATTTGGTCAAGGGCATAGTATACGTTTATTGAGTCATGTTAACATTATATGAACTGCTAATATCACTGTGAAAAATAAGTGATTTTCGCACTTCATTTTCAAAACGTTACTGCATTCATTTACCTTACTGCTTATTGTGTTCATAATCGCATTTATTTATTAACAGAACAAAGGTGGTCTGTTTAATTATCAGGACTGAACTGTGACTCTTTTGTTTAGACATTAAAATTTCCATCATCCACCCTACTGAGAAATATGAAAATAAACTTTGTTTAATTCCTCCTGTGGTAGAGATGTAATATCACTGGATTTGCTTTGTATCTAAGCTTTCAGTGACAAAAATTTGTCGTAAAATCTTTAGGTATACGAAAGTGTTGGTTTTTGCCTTCATGATCTAAAATGACTTCATCAGAGCTTGCTATTGTCGATAGATGTCTTTCAAGCCTTGGTTTTTGATGTTAACTCAGCTTCTTTTTACGCCAAAGAAAATAATTTGTTTGTGAACCTTAAATTATTCAGAATGATAACTACATACGACCATAAAAGGGTATTTTGTATATATATATATATATATATATATATATATATATATATATATATATATATATATATATATAAAGTAATTTAATTCTCCAAATATAAGTAGAATGTTTAGAATTCGGCCTTCGTTGTTAGGTAGTATCCAATATCATCGCTTCCAAACAATTTTGTTGAACTGATAGTAGCCAATCAATTGTTGTGAAGCAGTGGGTCATTGGTCTAGATAATTGGTATTAAACCAGTAGGGTCACGGGTTCAGGACGCACCCCAACTTTTAAGGTTTAAACAACCAAGTAATAACACCATCCCTCACAAAACATGTGACTCAATGCCTATTGTGGAGAAGTGTACGTGGCGGTCAGGTTTTCTGAATCAATGGTTATCGTGGTGTTTTTTCGGTGTCCATACTGCCGAGTTTGTATCTCCACAATATAATGACTACTTGCTATAAATTTGACTGATGAAAACTTTTGAATCAGTGAGATACTGCTCTGAATATTTTTTTCACAAAAGTTGGGTTTGATTAATGACGTTTATCCTGCGCGTAGCGTAGTGTAGTGGTGATTGATAATTTGATTTCATTTCTAGTATAAACTCAATACAACGTAGGCGCCAGGAACTGTGGTACACAAAATGATATGACAACAATCTGAACATATAAAAAGTAGCAAGATAATCATCAGGAAACAAGCTTACATAGCAGATATATTCAAATAGGTTTCATAACTTATATATTAAAAAAGAGACAACGAGAGTTCAGGATTATTATCGGTCTTGATTTCAAGCTATTGGGTTACGCGACCTCTTAGTTCTCTGAAAGAGCCGTGACGAAATAACAGATTCTTATCTAATACAAGCTTTCTTCATCCAGTTGTTTGTAATATTTAGTCAACTTAACAAATAACTTCAAGTGATAAATTTGCCACTGAGTATTTGTAATACTTTTAACCTTAGTATAATGTTTCCTATCAGTAACTCCATCTGCCGCTTTGATTGGGAGCTCACCTACTTGTTGTAGTGAAATATTCTGTGTTGCTGGGTGTCGGAAAAGATCTCTACTCACCAAAATGTGTACGTATAATTCGAATCTAATGAATTAAATATAACAAAGTTATCCAGTTCAGTTAGTTACGAGGTAGTATTAAAGCTCTAAGATTTGTTTATAACGATCATCTTACCAGAGAAATTAGTGTACAATTCATTCCACGTATTATTATATACCGTTCTTCGGTTCTATCATTTGCCAATTTGAGATTTTCAGAAGCAAATCTAATCATGTGATATAGGTGCGTGTATGACCGATATCACTCTAAATGTGTCATTTGAATGTCATCATGTAATTCACTCATGCATTATAGACTATGGTACCGACAACTTATAATCTATGGTTTATGATTACTTTTCATGTTTATAGATTGTATATTTCTAACTACAAAATTGAAAAGATTTTTTCTGAATAGGAACTTTAGTTTATTGATGGTCTAAGATAGTTTTCTTTGATTTTGTGAAATAATGACTTAAAAAGAAGTCTGAGTTCTGATTAGGCGTGAGTCAATACTTTCGTAACTAACACTCTTGTACTATATCAGTTTAAGCACTAGAATTTCGATCAAACCTTAATTATGTTTCACTAAGTTATTTTCTAGGTGCACTGAGAAATGCGAATGAGAAACAACGTAACGATAATAATTTCCAAATGTCATACCAAATACACAAAGCCTACCTCTTCTAGTAGTTTGTCTGCACTCTTGCTAGCTAAGCTTCAACTTATTTTGTTTCAAAACCTGACAATTTGCTATCAAAATGTTTTCATTTGGGATATACTTAGTGGACACTGGGTACCATTTGTGCATACGTACACAATTTCTAGTTTCAGTCGGAAAAATGATCACAAAATCAGCCAGATATTTTCTTAAAGGTGATTAGTATTTGTCTTTGTATACACACGTGCTTGCATTTTGAAACTGATAACAGAAAGAGTGACCCAAGTGTACACACTATTTGTATAAGATTTCATATGTAAATACAAGGTGGACCGATTTTGAAACCTTTAAAGTTGGGTAAGACTTTAAAGATTTTAGGTTATTTTACTTCAAACAACCTTTTTGTTAGATTGTCAGTCGTAATATTGCTGATTGGCTTCAACATCAGACTGTACAGCGATCGGTCTCGCGTTCGCAAACAACTTGTGTCATCGGTAGCCTAGTACATAAATCCTTACCGGGTTAGATTGCATTATTTTATTTTTCAAGATTGTGAGTTTTTGAAATAGTTATGAGTTACCAAACCAGTTTCTCCATTCCTACCACTAGTCATCAGGATTCACAAATTAGATAAGCTACTTTTTAGGGTGTTTATACCTGAGTCCACATAGTATTATAAAACTCCCTGACTGCTGGCTAGGGACAACACAACCAGGTTAAGAGAGAATTAAAACATTTTTGTAGGCCAAATAATTTCATTTCATTCGATTAAAATTGAGCAGTTTATACACATATATGTTATTTTTCAATCCATGTATTTCGTAGCTCAGATACTGGTGGAAAAACGAAATCATCCTCCAACTCATCTTTTCAAAATGAGGAAATTCACGAACATCATAAGTATCCACTTACCGACGAACTTTCAGAATCAACTAATAAAAATGCAGGTAATTCTTGACCTTTGCTTTTCTCATGAATCATGATTTCTCCCGCAGTAATTTTTCCTCAAAATAATAAATCGCTCTCATTGGTCGTTAATAATCCCAAAAGCATAAATGGAGTTAGTGAAGCATTTGAATCAATGATCGCATGCATACTTATGTATTACATTTTGTGTAGCATACCGCATTTTTATAGAAGGTTAGCGATACTGATATACTCTTCAAAGTGACATTTTCAATAGTTTGTAATACTTCTAACGAGCCCTATCGCCTAAACTACTGTATCAAAACTGGATGAGAAAGGCTTAATTATTTCCTCTAATAAATCTCTTGCTTTTCATTAGGCAATAAAATAGTCATGCTAAGCAAGTAGATCAACATTATCAACATTGGACTAGAAATTACTGCATATCGGTCCAGGTCGCCACACCCCATATCAACACATCAGGCAAGAAACCACTAAAGCCAAAGATAAAGAAATAAGGAAGAATCAGCCAAAGTTAGTAGAAAATAGTCAAAGAGAGGAAGTAAGAATAAGAAAATCCAGAATCCAGTATGACAATTATAATGAGGACAATATGTGAATACATCTGCGGCATTGCGATCAATTCTGAGCTATATCATCTAAACTCACCAACCGCTAGGTTATGTTATCACTTGGACCCCAACCGGTTAGTCTACATTTCCTTACACGGTCCAGACCAACAGTCAAAGGCTTCATGCGGTGATGTCACCCCTAACCTTTTTCCAGCCCAAACCTACTTCGGCTGACATTGCGCGACGAGGTAGACGGTAACAAGGGATGCGTAAAATGTCCCAGTAATGTAAGTTGATAAAGGTTCACAACCTCATCAACTGACTTCCATGTACTCCCTAATACCCTACACCTGATTTTTACATTGCGGATGTAATGAAACCACGACACGACCTGTACTACCATTAGTAAACAATCGGATATCGTGGTGGTCCGACACATGACGTAAGTTGGCAAAGGTCAGTTGGGTCTTTCGTATCTGTGCAGAGATTTCTTGGTTCACTGATGCACCAGGGCTGATCTAAATTCCTAGGTAAGTGAAGTGGTCAATGCACTGAACCATTTCACTCTCTGCTGTCAGATAGGGTGCCACTGAAGACCCGTCTTGCAGCAACAATATGTATTTAGCTAGTGAGGAACGCACCCCCAAAATTCAAAGTGTTCAGAAGACTTTGTATTTTGTCAGCATTGTTGCTTAACAGAACTATCATTTGAGTACTCTGTGTCTACCAAGGATTGTCCTGTGATAATATCAACTCCTTCAAAGTCAGATGATGACGATGACGACAGGGGGATTGCCATAAGTACATCTACGATTAAATTGAAAAAGAATCGATAGAGTAGACATCCTTGACCGACACTACACGACGTACAAAACTCATCTAACAATTGGCCATAGGCTCTAACATGTCTATTAGCTTTTGGGTATAGGGCCTTCAACCGAGTGGCGTACTACTCGTCACCCCGTTCACTAAGATACACTACTAACAGATTTCTTGGTCGACGGAGTCGAAGGGCACCTTCAGGTCAAGAAATACCGCCTCTGTTGGGTGTTGGTAATTGTGGTGTGTTCCCGCCTTTGTTGTTCTCGAGCCCCACCCAGACGTCTAGTGGTTACAAAACCTAGAACATTAGATAATATGTTCCTCAGGTTAATCTCCCTGTGGTTATCACAAGACAACTTTTCACCTTCTTGCAGACTGCTACAATCAGTGATTGAGGTCAGTTGGAGGATCACATTTGACTCCAACGCACTAGTCAAGATTTCAGTTAATTTAACCAATAACTCGGTCACCATCCCTAAACGTCTCGGATACTACTCTGTCTGGCACTTCTGCCTTCTTCATTTCGGGTTACCGATAGCTTCCTGGACATTGTAAAGTATTGAAGGTCCTATCTTGATACTTTATTCACTGAGCAACTGCATAAGGTTCAAAACGAAACTGATCTGAGTCTACGATGAATACTAACTTGAAAACACCTGTAGCTGGAAGCCAGTTCAACTGTTCCTTGAGGTGTTATGGCCGTTGTTCTATTTAGGTGCAGTTGTGAGTCCATCACAGACCTATCCTTCTGCGTTAGTCTCACTAACCACTGACGTTTTTGTCTAGTCCTCTTGACAAATATGAATAACACAACTGTTACCAGTCATCGCTGCCTTTTCCATCCATTTAGACTTCGTTGCCCACTACTGTTGGCCGTCTTTGTGCAGAATTGTTCAGTCTACATTTGGGTTCCTTACCGTCTTCATTGTTCTTAAAGCCTACAAGAATGAGTCCGGGTACAACCATCATTTCAGAAGCTGTTGAGATCAACTGACCCTTTGCAATCACTGTCTGAGAGTTAGCTACGGTCTTCAATGGTGATTTTTCAGCAGACTGGAGATGAGACCAATCTTCTTGATCCATGATGTTGTGTACCAATAGCCTTGTAGCCAATTTCTCGCTGAAAGCACCTTTAGTGCTCTCACTGTCGAGCTGCACTTGCAATGGTTTTGCTACTAAAGTTTCCTTCTTTTGTTGAGATGCAGACATTCACACGCATAGTCCTCCAGTGACCCTTTCGACCGATGACTAATGGCAGTGTGGTTTGTGTCCATATCTGAGTTGAGGTCGGTGGATGCTACATTAGAAAATGTCTCTTTCTGTCTGATGTTGGTGATGAACAGAAATAGGTGGTCATCTAAGCACAGTTTTGGCAACTGTAGAGTTTTGGCTGTTTGATGTTAAGAGTTGACTTTCAACCACTGGGTCACAGGTTTGAAGACCTCTTCACCTACCGATATTTGGGCGGCCAGGTAGTACCATTAGCCCTCATACACTAGATGTGGCTCGTTGCCTACTGCACAAATGTGCCCAAGATTGCTGTGTGCATTTTGATTTCTGCAGTGGTAGCAGGCGGTTGCCGTTAATTGTTCGTTTAGTTGGGATTCCAAAAAGTGCCACCCAGGATAATTTCTGCCTGACCTAGCTTGCCCACTTGTGCATTGATATCATGTGTTGCAACAACCAAATGTGAACACCTGGTTCCCAGTAGGAGACTGCAAAGTTTCCAGCAGAACTCATCCTTCACTTCATCAAAACTGCAGTCAGTGGGCGCGTAGGCAATGATTATCAAGAGATGACGGCGATTTTCATCATCCGTGTTAGTACTCACTATACTGTTTAGTCGAACAGGACACAGGCAAATGTTTAATAGGGTCCAGTCGAGAGGTGCACTTTCTGCCTTAGTACACCTGCAGTATCGAGACAATCAGCCACTGAATCCACAGAAACTCTATGTGTGAATTGTTTACATTTATCATATTGGTTGGTTGACATTCAGTGAATAACTACGCTTGGATTATATATGCGTGTCGTACAAACAGCATACATTTATGACCCAAGATGCTAGGATTTTGACTAGTAAGTCTTGTTGGGCGATTTGACGGAGTGTGGAGACATTGAAGGTGCCAATATGTAGCTTGGAGTGCAGTTTCGGGAGACTAGTTGTATTGTTAAGTGAATTCAGTTCGTTGTTAAGAGCTACAGAGCTGGAAGAAATCAAAGATGATGTAGGATTATTGACCGAGAGACGTGAAAGAAGATTAGTTAAGAGTGTGAAAGCCAGACAGTGATCTAAGGGTCCTTGAATGCTGACAGTGTTGTGAGTGCATTTAACACACTTTGGCTGTCTACAGTGTGGTAGGTCATTTCTTCTTGAGGCACCTAATAAAGAGGAGCACAGGGGACATTTACTTGAGGCCGATCAAACACCACCTTTTGGGAAGTGTTATTTGCAAATCCAACCATGAACCCATGTCGCGGGCACTGATATACCTCGAGCAGGGGGGGGGGTGGTACTCTTATGGTCGACCTTTTCTAACCCTGTCCCTTCTCATAGGGAAGGCAGTATCAGTGTGGCACGACTGGTCATCAAAGGGAAACACCTTACTACTGTCACACTCCGTCCAGACAGAAGTACGACTCCGCCTTCGAACTTCGTAGCGTAGCAGTTTACACTATTATTCTAACTGCTTTTGTCCTACCACTTTCCAACTAACTTTTCTGGCATGATAAGACCTCAAGGAATAAGTATTCTGACAGTGTAACTCATCGGCTCATTGTGGTCTACAAACCCGACCACCACGTCAAGGTAACAGCTATCGGTCATTGAGATTAACGTTGACTGAATTATTGTTATTAAAAAAACATGCCTACAGACTGCATGAAAAACTGAAAAATCATCTATGAAAATGGGTAAACAGATTTTTATGTTTCAAATCAACAATACATATCCTGCCAGAAATAGGTTGTCAAAACCTTTCGTTTATATGATCTCAGTTGGAACAGGGAAATCCAATTAGTCAGACTTAAAGGGTTGGGATGTGCAAATGGCATGACATACTTATTTTTAAAATCATAAAAAAGTGTAATCATTGAATTTACGTTAAAAAATAATATTCAGTGTAAGTGATATTCATGTAGGTAACATCCTACGTTGCCTATGTTCATTGATGAAAGTAAAGCAACACTTTCTAAAAGGCTACTCCTACTAAGAACAATCAGTTAACAGCAATCTTTTTTATTGTACATTATATGTAATCCAACAGATAGACCAATAGTTGGCTGCATGCGCGTCACTTTGGAGTATGACTTTTTTGATGTGCCATCATCTACATCCTTTTTTTTAATGAAAATGGTGATTGTAGGAACCGATAAATCATCTATTTCAATTTGAAGGCTTGTGAGGAATCATATATTTATTATCTGGACGCATTTATCTTTTCTTGCACTCGAAACTGTAGTTTAGCTCATATTCCAAGCTTATGTTTAAGTCATATGATTGAGTTTTTAGATGTTTTAAAAAATTATTATTATTACTATTCAATAAGGTTATTTATTAGCTTTTGTGTGAAGGTTATGTTTCAACCATTTTACAGTATTATGATTATTACATGGATGATCTAAAGAATTGGATTATGGATGATTTTTCCTGGTATAGAGTATAATAGCAAGGAAGTAAACCAATATTACGTTAGAGTTTATTGTGTTCACCCTGCCACAATTTTTTTGAGTGTTGAACGAACGTGTAGAGTATTTAAAGTATTTTCACCATTTAGTAACCCCAGGAAATCTTTCTGTCCTTATTTATTTCTGGTGTCCTACAATAAAATTTATGAATAGTGTAGTGATCAAGCCTAAGGATATACGATGTTTATATTGAACTAACTTGCATGATTCTGTAGTGTTATAGATAACTATTATGTATACTGTAACTGAAATCATGGTGTATAACCGAAAATTAAGGTATTCCCAACTGTTTTGTTGTTGTTGTATTGATGTACATTCAGCGTAAAACACTCACATTAAACATGTGGTTTTTAGCTTTTTTTCTTTATACATAATCAAGCATTCAGTAATAGTTTGTCCGTTCTTTTTAAATGAATGCTTTGTTTATGAATATTGATTTGAGAAATGAAGAAGTTTCTCGTGAGAAGTAATTAGCTCTGTTAAATATTAAGAAGTTTGAATTGAAAAGACATTAAATTAAACGCATTTATTTCTAGCTAATTTGGATTGTAACTACAGAGTAATTCGAATTAATATAGCGGTAACTTGGTGCATTCTCACTTTGATTGATTATGCAAGCCCATAATTAAATCAAAATGATAATTTGGTACAAATTAAGTTTGTACAGATCATACTCTCTGTATGTAGTCAAAGTTGGTTGTGATGAGTCTCTCCCAGTTTTTTTTATCTGCCAACCAATAACATAATGTTTTACCTTTTAGCTTATAAACTTATATCAGGAGTGACTTCTTCATAACTAGTTAACTAATTCGTCCGATTTTACGATATAAAGTTTTGTTACTGTTGGTGGTAATCTTCGAAATACTGAGGAGTCTCAGTAGATTTAGTAAGTGTACAACTAAGGCGCACTGTACATATGTCAGTAAACTAAATCCTCCATTTATAAGGTCTTTTAGAAGACATTTCATTTTTGAACCTTATGCATATTTCCTAAGTTCGATTACTGATGGGCATTTAACAATAAGCTTGAGATTCATTGACCCAGATGTATAGTAATTCTGAAGGTGCTTTTAAGGCTTATGTACTTTCCGTGAACTGAGGGTTATTTGTGTTGTGCTAAAGGAACTCACGATTGCGTGCAACTAAGTCACATTCTCAACCACAATTATAATTCCGCAAACTTCGTTTTATCGAATCGGTAGCTGTACAAAAGTGCAAGCCTTCCACTGTCTTAAGAAATATTTAACGGGAAAGCATAATTGGTAAATCTTTTAGGGTAGCGGAGAATTAATGAGAAATATAACAAAAGTTATTTTATAGCCGCCAAGTAAATTAAGGCTTCAACTTTGTTTCTTCGAATTCTAACAACTTTTCTTTAGTTTTATTCTGTTTTATCCACTTTGTTCTCTTGGTGTTGCAGATGAAGACAAACAAGTTGATTCAAGTCAATTCAGTAATGAACAATCTGTTGAAATCGGTAAACCATTGCGTAGAAAATCCTCAAGTTCTACCACTAATACTGATGACATTGAAAATTTTAGTAGTCAAGGTAATTCAGAAACTCCTTCCAAAACCAATCCAACAGCATCATCATCACCACAACGGTTATTATCAACATCTTTAGAAAAATTAGAGAGTCCAATTGCTAGTCAATTATTGCCAGTGAAGAATGACACTGAGGATAACAACATACATGAAAGTACCGTAGTAAAGTATTTGTATTTGAGAGTTACTCTAGTAGGAGATGAAAATCACATCTTTCGTCTTACTGTTGATTGGTGAGTATAACCTTTATTTGAAAAAAGGCCAATTCTCTTGTGGGCAGTTTTGTTGACAGTTTGTACGCTAACGCACTTTTTATTCTCTCTATTAATAATGGAACAGTCTGGAATAGCCTACACTGATTAATTTAAAACTCGATTATGGCTGTTGTTAGTTAAAAGTTATAAAAACAGGTTGGTTGTGATCAGTTTTAGAACCACCATTGTAGCTCCTACCTTCTGTTAGTTGTTGAGTTTACCCGTTGCAGGGATATATTTGAGCTATATTTACTTAAACTTTCGTTTTTTGATACCTAATGCGAGATAAAAGTCACTTGTAAAGCAACTATTTCGAAAATACTTAGTTTTCGGGCGAAGTCTTGTTGATTGTGTCGAATTATCGGGGCAACAGTAAACTGTTTGCAAAGGATAGTCATGATGATGCCTTCTAATGTTGCAGCGAGGATTATAATTAGTTAGCCATCTTTTCATAAAGTTCTGGCTCCACTTATAAGATTTAAGGCACTGAGCCAATTCTACAAAGCTGGAAGTGACGAAATGTGACCGGTTATATATATATATATATATATATATATATATATATATATATATATATATATATATATATATATATAGCATTTTGTTTTCACCTGTCGGTAAGAACATTGATTTTAACCTAGTTTTCTAGGTAAATCGATAAGTAACCTTACACTGTAAAGGCAGCCTGAAATTGTCAGTAAACAGAACACAATTAGCAGTACACTTGAAACTAGTGATCTCTTTATCACTATTCTAATATTGTGGTGTTTTAAATAGAGCTATATACAGTTAAATGAGCTGAAGCCACTTTTTACTATCTTACGTATCCGTTATGATTGAAAAGAAATGGTCGACCAAGTGAAATCTCCTCCTTTTATTGCTCGTAGAACCATTAAAGATTCCATTACAATGGAGGTAAATGGGCCTTAGCATGAACAGGAATATCTCTGGATTTTAGCATTAGAATTAGAAAACTGATTATACGTACCCAGACAATGTAAAAAGATTGAAATTAGATGAAATCATTCGCAACTATGATCTTGGAGTTTACATTATATTTTAAGTATAAAATCTAGCCTCATCATTGATCTACACGAACATGTTCTTTACAACTGGTAATGAAGTGATTGAGGGCGTTTGCTACGTTGCTTTCATGTGGGACTGTGTCAACAACCGTGGCTTTTGTAATTCCGTTACTAATATCGAAAACTTACTTGACATTTTAGTGTGTGACGGTGATATAGTATGCTAATAATTATCTATCTTCATTTAGCTATGCAAAAGACAGTTTGTGAGAGTGAAGGACAGGGAATAATTGCATGATTTGAATTGCCAGCGTTTTCTTAATGTCACTTTACTGTGGTTTTATGTGAGGTAAATAGAAGCAATCAGTTGGTTCATAAACCTGCAATGACTAAAACGTTTGAAGTTTGCTTTACTATGAACCTTTCTGTATAGGTGGTATCAAATTGAATCCAAGTTGCATCTATATAACTCAGTAACCATTACAATTTCGTGTCACAGACTATGAAACATATCTATTTTGCGAATATGAATGGTCGCAATTGGTTACCCTAACCTTCATAGATAGAATACTGTGTGAACTCATGATCTGCTAATGGAAATTCGATTATCTACAGTTTCATTGGAAAGCGTTTTGGTCCTATCAAACCGAAGTGCCTTCGGTTACTTGAAGTCTTGATTGAAGAAAGCACAAGGTATCATCATTAAAACCTGGAACACAATTAAAATCTATGGTTGATGACTCCAAGGAAATGTAACACAAAGTCAGTCACAATGGTATGAATGCATCTACATATAATCTACTTAATTCTTCAGCATATTACTTAGTACTTCCTTTTCTTAGTTTCGGGTTATATCATCGCTAAATGTGATGATTCAAGTTCATTTCACTATCATGGTAAATCCTACGTTAATCAGACTTGATGAATTTCATATTATTTCTACCTTTTTTTATCTTCTGTTAGTAAATTATCCACTACTAGCTTTTAACGGAGACTTTTCATACAAATTTCTTTTGACATACATCGATACGAAGTGCTTGAAAGTGATATTTTTACTCAACCTTCTTCAAATGTCCTGGTTTGCCCTGAATCTGTATTGGCTTAAATAAGTTGTGTCATTTTTTCTACTAGTGTACATACACAAAATAGGCCTTTGGCTTGTTAGAAGATCGCATATGTGTTTGTATATATGCTGAATGCCATGCAGCTGTAATACTTCAAATAGTATACGGATCCAGTTTAATTTAACTAATAATGCATAGTTTGACCTTAATCGTACATTGTATCGTAGAGTTTTTATTAACCTTATTTCGTTGAGTTTTAATTTTGTAATCTTCAGTATTTTCTACACGTAGAGTAATAGTAGTCGTAGTAGTAGTGTAACTTTGTTGATTTCACGTTTTTATTTTACGCACAAAATTCTATTTTGATGACTGAAGTGAATTATTAGCTTTTTAGTGACCGGGTTACTTAGAGTATTCTGGCTAGATAGAAATATAATGACATTAGGCATTTCTCCTTCAGGCTTTATGGAGAAGAAGAAGAAGCTACAGGAAGTTAGTTTTCGGTAAGTTTCTTTAGACAACAAATACAGCTCAACAAATACCAACACTCAAAAAGACCATGTAACCATCCTCAAGCAGAAGTCTCCTTTCTGTCTGTTTACAAAACCTAATGCACTTTATTTTTCAGGTACAGAAAGCATCAGCTGTCATAGTGTGGACAGTGGGGAAGTATCGGCTTTCAGGAAGCTTCCAATGGCATACAAAAGCTATAGTCATTTTTGTGTTCATCATTGTGTCTGCCTACCAATATTACTGACTATATAGTTTACTCTACTATTAACGCCGAGGTTGCACCATGCTTCCGTAATACTACACTGTCAACTACTTGGTAAAGCTTTCAGCCTTTAAGCTAAGTCAATTAAAATAGTAGATCTCACTGGTCGAAATTCTGGAGTTCAGTCAGTGGTTTACAGAGGTTAATTGTAGTATTTGTTACGGATTGACATGAGTTTGAGAACCATTGTAAACTTTCTAGTACTAGACTGTTATTTTCTCCTAGTATTGAACTCCACAGCAGTGCTCACGCACTACTTAGTGACGGATCAAGTCGCTTAGCACGTTTCTATTCATTTGCTGGGTTGAAATCCGAATTGACAAGGTAGTAGTATGTGGATCATTAGATTTAAACCCAGTGGTTGCGTGGTCACTGTGAGACCTGACTGTCGACTTTATTCCTTGCTGCGTTGTGGGCACGCACCTCTGAGGAGTCTAATGCCAGGATGAAAACGCGGTAGTAATTGCAGCCTATCGGTCAACACTTGAAGATGTAAAATGTCACGGACTTTTAAACTAGGAAGATGTGGATGTTCAGTGCTTCTGATATTAGGTTGTAATGACTATTTGGATTTTTAAAATTCGATCAACTAGGCTGTATTCCCGGTATTAATATTGCTACACTTTCTTTTATCCAACTTTTTATCTTCATCTAAAAGTCTTACTCAGGTGTACAGTTTCCTGCTACGCGCTGGTGTAGGCAGCTCAGACCTAACTCGACAATGTATTCATGGTTCTGAAAACACTGCCGCCGAAGACCTTGGAAATCAATTATGCGTAAAGGTAAGAACTTTACTATCTCATGTAAAAACAATGACAGAAGCTAAGTTTGTTGTACAAATGAAATTCCATCGTCATCCTCGACCGTTTTAAGATGCAGGAAACCATCGAACCTTCTTCTATAATTGTTAATAGAAAATGTGATTCAACCCGGCTCATATTTATGTACTAGGTAGTGAGACAGATTTTTCTTGTGAAGACTTACAATAGTACTTGATCTCCCAGATCGAAGCAGGTATGGCGGGTTTCGAACCCAAGAGCCTTTTTTTAAAAGTTGAGTTTCAAATCACTGAGCCATATCTTCTATAATTGATCTCTGTAGATACCCTTAAAAAAAGCTGAAATATATTGCCAACTATCCAAAATAGTGTAAATTACTATACCATTATCCATGATTCTCCCTACATTGATTTGTTTTTATGTGATTCCAAACGTTTGTTGCAGTCGTTTTTCTTCTACTTTTCCTTTTTCACTTTTTTATATAATGTATGAACAACAAGGTCTTTAGTACATCATGTTAGGCACGTCGTATGTATGCCCTTCTCATTGTTTTGTGTGAAGGATATTGAACAATTACCCACTTCACCTAAAGGTCGTCTTATCAAGTACTCTTATTTACCTGTCCGTCTATTAGCTGTTGAACAATCTCTCTAATTAATATGATAAATTATTGTTTTGCTCCATGAATTGATTGTTATCAAATGCTCACAATCACTTACACATGGGTATAAAATATTCTTTCACATAAAAGTATCAAATATCATCGAATACAACAATATCAAATGCTTCGCATTTTGTGATATGCACTTTCAAGCATCAATTTATTATCATTTCAGCAATAGTTATTATCCTTTTCTAAGAAAAAAACACTAAAGGAAGGCTATAAATAGAACCAATAAATCTCATCAAGTGTGACATTTTCACTTTCACAGCCTTATAGTCCCTAAGCTGAAAGGCTAGATTGTAAAGTGCATGTTATATAGTCCAATTAGCATAGTTGTGTAGCCTGAATAATTGTCGATGTGACTGATTGTATTGCTTACCACAATTACGGTGTTTAGAACACTAACTGGTCGTGAGCAAACAATATTTTAAGCTTATCGAAAATTCCGTCACGTTTTATTGTTGTCCCACCCTTGAATAGGCTATAAAAAACTTTGAAAGTGTTGCAAAGGCAGGCATATCGACAAACATAACCTAAATTATAGTACCGTGAACTATCCCTCCACCTTCCAAAGTAGAGAACTTTAGGACTGAGTAATTTATGCACTAGCTAGAATTCAATAACAAAAGTCACAAGTTTTTTTTAATCAAGGGCATATTTGTAGCTGTATTCAGTCAAAGCGAAGATCATGTAAATCAACATGTGGTGGTATGAAAAGAATCCTATACTCATAAACTGAGAACTCTGAAGTTGGCGGAGTTATTGTCACATTAATAGTGCATTTCAGCCACTAAGTAAACCAACTTAGTAGTAAAAGATGCACCAGCAAAGACTGAAGCTCGTTGTCTTCTTTCGATTTACACTGTCAAGATCTTTTCTGATGCTATCACTCATAAAAGTAATGGACGAAGTAAACTTCAATTTTGATTTGCTACTTAATCTACTCTTTCACAACTGATTATAGTTTAGTCTTGACTTTTACACTTTTTTCTAAGTGTAGTCAACCCTGTTAGGTAAATTCAACCGTAATTGTATAGTTTGATAATAAAGTTGTCGAAATAAAATGTGTCTAGATTGATAGCTTTTAATTTATAATGTGTATAGCATAGACCAATTTAAACATGCATAGTAAACCTACAAACAGATGAACCAAGATATACATGTGTTTCGTTCATTTCATCTTCAATCGATAACTGGATCAATCTTTACATACAACTTGGATTTTGTTTTCATTACTAGTACCACCTCGGAAATAACTTAAGGTGCGTACGTGGTTGGTTTTCAGTGCTAACCATTTTGACCTCATATCACTGCATAATTCTTTTGTATTGGTTTCTGCACTCAACCAACTGTCGTAGAGTTATGATAAATCGTTTCGATTGCATAAAAATATTCAATTAGTCTGTTTGCCATAACCCACAGTGACCATGTATTATTTATTATCATTTTGGTTACCTGAGACAACCGTGGTTTGGCAGACTTGTATTAATACCGGGAGATGATTGAAGGTAAAATGAAAAACTGGGCCGCAGCATGATTCGAACAGGCGACCATCTGGTTTCCGACCCGATGCTCTACCGACTGAACTACGAAACCCAACTGCTGATCAGATTTTTATTTCACTTCAATCACCAAGGGTTTTTCACAACTGTCATGTGAATTCGTGACTTGTTACTACCGCTTGATCGTACTCACACTGACTGCCCAGGCACCACTTCTCATCCAAATCTAACTAAATTTGAGGGGGGGGAGCACAGCTTCTTATCAAAAAGTAATGTAGGAAGTTGTGTGATTGGATTCTAACAGGAGAACTTAGCCTTACTGTTTTAAAACTTACCCGATAAGCTAATTATATCCTCTTCAGTTTACTGTTTGAAAAACATTGTTTCAGCATTTGTATTTATGAATAAAAAAAGATAAAAGAAGATTGTTATTACTGACGCTCCTCTACTGAGTACCGGTAATTTTCTGAAATAAACGGTGAAATAGAATTTACTATATCAAATCTACCATATTCATGGTAAATCGATCTAAGTCCTCCATTACGTGTCAATTTGACAAAATACCTTTCTACTAGTCCTACCTAAACTCAACCTGACTTTACAATCGACACATAAGAAGCGCAATCAACATTTGTTTTCGATTATAAACAATAATTCACATTGACTGAACGATCTTTACTGGAGATATATGAACTAGTAAATTTGAAAGTGATGTTTGGTTGAGTGAGATTATTGATTGGATCTGTCTACAGCTGTAACTGGCACAGTGTCGTTCTATTAATATCTACTTGTATATGTAGGTTCCCACAGATTGTTTGTCTTTATTTTAAACTTTTTCCTATAGCAGCTGATTTCAAAAGGCTTAAATCATTTCTCATACAAAAAAGCTGATACTTTATGAAGAACACGTAACTGGGTTTTTTCAACTGTTGAAATTCATCGTGTCTAAAACTAACATACTTTGCAATCGTATTGAGTTTTCTGAAAATATCTTTTGTGCATTTTTCAACTCTGGGTATTGCAAACAGTAGGATCTAATTACCAAGTAAGAAAAACAACCTGTAATGCCAGTGGATGTATTTATTATTTTCATGATCCCTTAACTGTATGGTCTAATTATCAGACCATAATTGCTGTGAAAGACAAAAGTGCGAATGCAAAAACATACTTGTTTTATGATAAACACCGGATAAAATCCACTTAGAGCCTCTCACACAAGTGCATCAGTTCAAGTTGCCACACTTCATGGCAGTACACAAAGAACAGGTGGATAGAAAAAAGGTGATACCAAAGTAGAAGTTTTACTAGGGAAATAATATGAGGAGAAAAATTACTGTGAGTATTCAAGCTTTAAAATGTGTCAAGAAGTAAACACCTCTGCACCGCTGACCGACTTTCAGCCATGTTACTAAGAATTTTCAACTAATGATTCCTTTCATCTCGGGGCCTCAACCAGTCTACATCTCTCCACACTACTCAGACAAACAGTAAGAGACTTCATCCACTGTTGCCACATATTCATCTCATTCGTCTCCCTGAACTCTCTTCCAACTCAATCCAAATTTCCCTAGCGTTATGTGTTGAGGTAGGTGGTGGCTCGGCATGCGCAAAAAATGTCCAAGCCAAAGCCGGTGAAGTTTCACAACTTCATCAATCGATTTGCCTGTTTTGCCTGACCTCAACGTTGCTCATATGGAGATCCCACCAAACGCAAGCAGTTTTGTGAAAACGCACGTGATTAAAACCGTGTAACCGCTTCATTTCTTCTAATGGCCGTATCACAGCTGTATAACAGGACCAAGGGAACTATAGCGCAGTATAATCTTCCTTTGATAGATAATCGGATATCTTGTCATTCGGCGGCACAGATGACGAAGTTGGCAAATTTCAAATGGGCCTTCTCTATCCGAGCTGAGATCTCGTCAGCAACCACCCTGTTAGGGTTGGTGCAACTCCCGAAGTAAGTGAAGTGGTCAATACACTCCACCAATTCATTCCCTATCATTGAGCTGAAAGTACTTGCAGCAGACCAGTCCTCGAGCATCATTTTACATTTGACAGATGCCAACGAAACGCATACCACATATATTCAGATTTCTGCTCAACGCGTTCAGTATATCCTGCACTTTATCAGTATCCTCAGCTAACCTGAAAATATTGTCTGCATACTTCAAGTTAACCAGGTGACCCTCAGGGTGTAAGTCAACCCCCGTGAAGTCAGACGTACCCAAGGTTTTGTCCATTAGTATATCGACAACGAAGTTAGATAGGAACGGTGACAATGGACATCCCTGGCAGACACCACTAGTTGTTGTCATGACATGACAACTCTCCATAAGCCCTTACGCGGCTGCTTGAGTTCGAGTAGAGACCTTTGATAAGCATGATATACTTGCTCTGTACTCCCTTGACAGTCAGACACTGCCACAACACCTTGCAGTCGACAGAATTAGCAGCGGCTTTCAGGTCGAGAAATATGCTAAGTGTTGGCCACTGGTCTGTAGGTATGCCTGTATTCCAGAAGCTGTCGCAGGGTAAAAGTATGGTGGATGGACCCTCGTCCAGATCTGAATCCTGGTTGGTTTTCCGAGCTTGGTGTTCTCGAGCTCTAGTTAGGCATCGGACAACTAAGAAACCTTGGATCTTGGTTACAATATTAGTCAAACTAACTCCCGTATGCTTGTCACAAGAAGACTTCGCTTCCTTCTTTTAGACTGCGATGATCAGTGAAGTAGACCAGTCTAATGGCATTACCTCATATTTTGCCGTGTACCTCTGTTACTTTAGTTAGTAATTTATTACCTCCATCTTCGAAAACACCGGGTAGCAAACTATCAGGTCCTGATGCTTTGCATTACTTGTTTTCTAGTCCCCCTTAGGTGAAAAACAGAAAACCTCATAATATTGTTTTGCTCACAATCGGTTAGTGTTTTAAACGTCGTATTCCTTTGACATATGTAGCTTTTTGATGATAGTTTTGTCACTTTAGGTTTAATCTTTCCTTACTCTTTCGTCTGAATCTTTCCTTTCTTACTTTTATTGGCGTTTTTAAAATCATGGATTTATATAAGGTGGAAAATGTTTTCGGATTAAATACGATTGGTTTGCTTTTAACATGTTGGCTGCGAAACTTGTTGGTTCCATAGACATTCGCAAATAGGAGTCATGTTTTTGCGCTGCCTAATAGCCGAAACCTATGATAAATTAGTGACTTAGTGCTTGCTGGTTTCTTATGACTTTCACGTTTATTGCAACCCGTTAATTTAACTGCCTCAATATCGAGACTTCTTCCAGTATTATTTCATCCCAGCATGTTTTTATACTCCTGCAAAATGTGATCGAGCATTCTAAAACCCTATGTATAAATGTATACCAACTTATATGTATATATATTTCGTTTCAAATTGTGTACAACTCATAAGAAATCAGTAGAAAGAATGAATTTATCTTAGTCTAAAAATGCTGTTTTCATTGTGCTATTCAAATAAGAACTTAGTAAATTCGTTTCCTGTAAATTTATCTTATTTTCTAATATGTATCATTATTTCCTCTATGTTGACAGCTCTTTGTACTTCCATTCATGTAGGAACGAAAGATGGATCCGGTTTCTACAGTATGCCACCGACGTAGTGTAATTGAGGAAATATTAGAAAGTATGGAAGAATCAACTCCTGTACCGTCACTTTATGGAGGTGAAAGTCGAATATTGACTAATAAGATGCTTGCAGATGTAAGTTTTTCACGCATCAGCCTAGAGCTGAAAATTTGTAGATTGCATCTTTTTGGGATTGTTGGCGTTTATTGGGAGGAATGTGGGTATATAAAGTACTCAGACAAATTCTGATGGAAAGCAAAACAAACAGGAAACTGAAGAATTCAACGTATGTGTTCATCTCAGTGTGACTTGTTTGTTGTTCACTAACCAAACCTTAGCAGTAGGGTCGAATCAGAACAATGAAGTACTTCAGTACAGATAACAGTCTGCAGTAAAGCCCTCGGTAGTCTATTTTAGCTCCATGGCTACTTCGTTTCCATTTAGTCTTATGGCTATTACTTAGGAGATAACGATAATAAAAACTGTTATTATTTTTCCTATCTTGCACTATTCAGGTTATCCTTTTGAGCTTGTAAATCGAAGTAAACTCTTTGAATGGTATATTTGGCTTAATAGATGTCATAAATGGTGGAGAATATTTGTAGCTCAGGTGAATGGTTTGGGTTGTGTTGAAGTTGGTGGTGTTGATGTTTTCGGGAAGGGCAATGAAAGCCCCGCGATTAAACCACCCAGCTCAGAGATGGGATCCTCAAACTGATTGAAATAAGAACCACTAATTTGACATAGTCCGCTGTGGGGCTCAAGATTTTATCTGTCCCTCTTTTGGCAACTGAACATATTTTTTTATGATTTCTTTATTTCATTACAGTCTAATAAGCCTTCATATACAGCAAAAATATGCGATAATGTTAACTCATGAAAACGGATATTCGTCTGGAATGTAATTAATTATATACCATTTCTAACATAGTCTTATTGTTCTTTCTTCCAGCTTAGTGTTAATTTCCCCGCCCATTGGACAAGTTCAAATTTAAATTCCATCTACAAGTCTGAAGATGACGGTTACTGTTTAAATACAGTCTATAGAAAGTGCAAGGATGTTGAAGGCGGCGTTTTATTAATTATTCGTGATACTATGGGTGTTGTATTTGGCTCAGTTATGTCAGAGGGGATGAAATGTAGTAAAGGCTTTTATGGAACTGGTGAAACATTTGTCTTTCATTGGAAGCCAACATTTAAAGTAACTTACCAGTGACTTAGTTGTAAATGAGTTTTTATCTGTGGATTTTTTTTAGCTATCTACCGTTATTTTTTTATCGGAACTTCGTATTTGTTAGCGTTCTGCGAAATTCGTGAATTCATGCATATTGTCTCTGAAAGTTTGACTTTTTTCAGTCAGCACTTCGTATCCATGTGGTACCATACAGCTATATGATCTTAAACTGCAGATGTCGTATGAAATTCCCTGAGTTTTCAAATACTCGCCACCGATGTGTCAAAAGTGAAGAAATTCGAATGTAGTGCTTCTTTATGACTTCCTCTAAGAATCTGCCACTTAATTTTAACATAAACATGTTTCTAGGAATTTAACTGCCAGAAGTTGGGCCAATAATAAAAAAAATTACAGTAAGTGTTTTCTTCTTGGCGACTGAATAGTATGATAAGCGCTTGTACACCAGGTATGGCTTATAACTCAAGGCAAAGAAAACTTGCTTGAAGTCTTTCTTCCGGATTTTACTTTTTGTTTTTCAAACTACTTAATTTCGTAATAAGTAGCATTATTCATGTGCAAATATTTTGATAATTAGGTTAAACTTTTTGGTATGTCTGTCACTGCAACATAACGTAGTTACCATGCCAAAAATTTATTTTAAATCCTCACGTCTAGTAAACGAATATCAGTAAAATTGGCTGTAGTATTTGAGCAAAGTTGGGTCCCTAGGTAACAGCGGGTTTGATTGGTCGATGTCTAACTAGTACCCAGTATTTGTAAAGTGAGATACAGTATGATTACAAAGAGCGAGATAGTCCTAATAGTATTTCTGTAAATTTCTAATTTTCAATGTGGTGAATAAAATTCGAAACACTCCAAATTTTTCATTCATTGTGTGTATCATTCTGTCCTCTTAGATACATCGCTTCTTCAAATATGCAGCCTCTTAAAACAAATTCCAATCTTCAAGTTTTTAGCAGTCAAGAAAATGTTCAAGTATGAATATAAACACTCCATTCTTAGAAAAAACAAATTTTTCGACCTTACATTCATAAGCTCTCACTTTTCAGTTAGCATGAAAGTGAGACTTAGCATTACTGCATAGGAGTCCATGTTACCACACATCATAAAACAGGAAAATGCAAGGTGATTATATTAAAGAGAAAGGAAAAGAAATAATGTACTGAAAAGTAAATTGATCTACTTACCCGAAGAGAGGGAATGGAAGTAAATTAAATAATGAAATGTGGTATATTGGTTAAAATGAAAATAAGACCTTGGTGCATCTGTGCCACTCCGATGAATTGTAGATACATATTGCTTGGTCTCCAAACATAGATTTTCACTTACTTCAACCTCGAAATTTACATTTCCCTATACGACTTTGACCATGAGTCAGAGAATTTACCCAACCACAGTAAAAAATTATGCCAACTTTATCCTTCTAGAGCACCTATCTGAACTCTGACGACGCTTTAGTGTGTTAATTTCATCTTGGGTCTATGTATTCATAGAAGTCATCCTCCGAAACGGGATAACGTAATGGATCTGGTTGCACTTGATATTACAACTTTGAATCAAACTGAGCTGAATTCAGGGCTAGTTGTAGAACCTTAATAAAGTAGGGATAAACATTGACTGTCTATACAGGACGCCAGGAAAATGGCGCGTAAAGCTCCTTGTGACTTTGATTAATATTGGATCTGTACAGGCTCCTCGCAACTTGCTGATGCTTGTTGGTGTGTTCTGACTGGCAGCGAGCACACTGGTGTGCATAAGTTCCTTACGCGACACATCAAACAGTATTTGGATAAGGAATGCAAAGCCTGGTGGTCGGAACACATGAGTGAAAGGGAAACAGCAGCAATATCATGCGGTAGTCAGAAGCTGTTCCCACTTATCTGACCCACTAGCAACAAGAAGCCTGGTGTCAGTGAAACAATCTGTGAAGTAAATGGTAGGCCAATCACCAACTGTCATAGATATTTAGGATCCTCTGAGGAGCACTGAGAAGTACAGACAGGCTGGCCAACTGCTCCAGGAATATCTACCTTTTTCCTCGAAAAGGCTGCACATGCGTCATTATTCAAACTTTACTTTCAGTAATTTTAGCTGGTTGCTTTTTTTCTTATCCAAGCGACTTTAAAGGTCACTCTAGCAACTATTGGAATAACGAATTAAGTTTCTCACTTTGTAAAATGCTAATTTTTCAACGGTAACAAGTAAACAATTTTTTTCCACGGTAGTTTGCATGGTAACGTTTAAAGTCAACCGTTTATCATACAAAGTTGTGTTGATCATGAATTGTATATTTTTACTCGTATCAAGGAGGTTATTTACTGGATAGGATAGTATATTGTTTACTATCCTAAATTCACTATTATCAATCTGATTAACAATGTTTTTTGGAAGTTGAATGGTGTCCTTCAATAGTTACTCACTTTTACTGCTCTATTTTTTCCTATTTACTATGAAGGGAACTTCAGTCAAATGATGTATTTATTCTATTTCTTAAACTTGGAAAGACTAATAATGTTTACATGTATTCAGGAGCAAAACAAAACAGAACTGAAGAGGAAATAGATAATAAGTAGAAGTGGATAAAATTATAAGAGAAGGATGTTTACTTCTCATTATATTCAGTTTTCAAACCATTTGGTAAATGTCTCGAACGCCATTACGCATATCGGAGTTTGGACTGCAGTTTTGTGTCATGAGTGGATGTGAATCTTACCTTAGTACCTGTATATGATTTCAAAATCACATTTGTGAACTAAATTAGATCGTGCTATACGAAGTTGAATATAAACTAACCGCTAACCATATTACTTAACGTATCTAATCGTTGAGATTTCGCAACACAAAAATAAATCTGTCACTTATTCTAGCAGTTTTCAAAATACAGAAAAAAGTTCAAATTGAAGCTCAACTCTGCAATGACACACTTTCATACATTACGCAATTAGTACTTTTAACGCCATCACATTTCGTGGATCTAAGTAGGTGGATAAGGGTCTGAACTCGCGACTTACTAATTGCAAGCCACAGACCCACCCAAATATAAGTCCTGTTTTGCTAAATTTGGTTGTCATTAGGACGATTAGTTACTGTGACGTGTATTTATTTGCTCTATTATTTTCAATAACTTGTACGAAAAGGGATTTTTTTACAACCAAATAATGGGTTCTTTTTTTCATTTTTAATATAAAATTCAACATAATTTGATTGACTGATGAAATCCTTCCACTTACTTACGTCTACAGAAATACTGTTGGACCAAAAAGAACTACTTTTTTATGCGGGGATCTCCTCACTCTTTTCATATTGGTGGTCAGAGGTGAGCTCATTATGTTATCTTTCTGCATGAACATTAGCCATGTGAATAGTTTCTTATGGTGTCTATCCTAATGACTGATACGCAGTAAAGCTTTGGTATATGAATGCGTTCTTACACTACCCTTATAAACTATTGCATATAGTGCACACAATTATTACGAGTTTACATCTAAGTAAAGTTTCTTTATTCTAAAATAAGTAAAATTCAAACTAACGGCGTATGCTGGGGCTGTACCTAATGATTTATCTATTGTGCGTAACAGCCTAACCGTTAAAACCATAGTTGTAAATATAGCCAATATAATCAGATTGTGATTGGTCGTTTTAGTTATGTTGAAATTAAATAGATTTGTATTGATATCTTTAATTTGCTTGACATCTGTTTGTCTAATCTTTTGGTTTATTGGATGCACATTAATTACAAAAGCTACATTGCATCCCTTATTTAGTATGTTTGACACAATACACAATGGACATTTTTATGTCATGATTATTCAATACAGGTATACTGTCAAGTTCATGATGAATGAAAATTCATAAAGTGATTTTTAGTGAGATAAACTCACTTTACTATTACATGGAGTGGTTGCTTAGTGACAAAAATAGTTGACTTATAATCATGTCTCACTTATTCTTGTAATATTAGCTAAGTACTGTGGTGAACGCTACCTATAAGAACGCATTCCAATAGTTAATAGCTCAGCATCGCAAAACACAAGTAACGATAACGATCGACTAAGTAAGATTCAAGTCGGAAGAAAATGGAATATCATGTATGAATATAGAGAGCAGTAACACTGAACGCTGGGATCCTAAGCAGAGGAATGTTTTCAATGTGACTTCATTGTAAGGCTCAATATTTTCATTACTGGCTGTAGTTTCTCAATAAAAATCTCGTATTCCATTGGACTTATCTACGGTATCAGCAAACACTACACAATAGCAATTACTAACAACTTTCTGCGATAAAAGTTTCATTCTTTAACATGCATTGATTTCCAAATTTTTAATAATGATAAAGCAGAGACTGTTTTGTTTTGGGATTGAAAGTTGAAATATTGTTAGCAAGAATTAATCACAAAGCACACCTATTACCATCGGTTTTGGAGGATTTTAAAATTATGTCCACCTGAAAATTCCTAGTGTTTCAGGAGCACTTTTTCCATTTGGAATCTATATTCAAAATATCATGCTCCAATCAGAGTCTATTCCGAAATATTCTCTCAAATGAATGTTTTTGATATTGTTGATGAATTTCCAACTGGGTGATGCATACCGTATAGACTTGGGTGTTTGTGATTACTGGAATTTAGAACTTGGTCATCTCTCCATGCTTTTTTGAAATTACTGCATAACATTGAAGGTACTTTTCTTGACTGTACTTTATCTTTAGTGTATACGTATGTGTTTTATTCTTCTCTTTCTTTAGTGGAAGAAATGCAATTTGGTTCGATGAATCATTAAAATATGGTCGTAGTGAACCAACAGACACATTTGATAATCCTGTACTTAGTGGAAATTTACCAGATTTTCAATTTTCTGCTCTGTCAATCAATAAAACAGACGTAAATGGGAATGAATCCAGTGAAAATACTGCTCACAGTGCTCATTCAAACTGTATTCATTCAGAATCTAACAAGAAACTTTCATCTGTAGAGTATAACAGTGTTCCATTTGTGATTGATACATTTGAACTATGGCAGTTGGTTAGTTAGTTGAATAATCAATCATAAATTATGCGTCAATGAGTTTGATCCAAATTGTCTTTTTTTTCTTGATAAATTTATGGCATGGACACGTATAATATTTACCGAAATTTATTACTACTCTTCGTTTTATTTTACAAAGACTAATGATTTAGTTGTTTGTTTATACTTTTACTGTTACGTGATTTTACTTCGAATGTAAAAAATTTTTTTTTTCAAATTCGATCATCATTCCATTCTGATAAATATTTTCTTTTGTAAGATAATTTACTTAATTATTACTTAATTACATGTACTGGACATATGCACAGAAAGAGTAAATTTATTTAACTTCAGTTTCTTGTTTTCTTCTGCTGATTATTTGTTGATTTTATCGCAGATCTGTGCAGAATTTATGCGATTTTTTTTGGAGTGTGTATCCTTTGTCATCATGGGTCAGATAGACATGTTGCTAAGCTACTTGTGAATAGTCATAAGACTCATAACAGTGATTGAATAATCAACCGAACGGAATCATACTGTTGTTAGACAAATTCAGCAAAGTTTCCTATAACTTAGCACAGATTACGAGGTAGTTAGCCTCAATTTGTTCAACAAATTATCAATTAAAATGAACAGGAATGTAAAGTTGTGTCTTGCGCTTTATTTTTCCCCAGTCGTGATGACCTGGTTCTCGTACGTAAGGAATAAGATGATAATGAGTAATGTTTTTAATACTCGGTGATGATTGTAGGCCAAGTGAAGAACTGGTTCGCCTCAAAACTTGAACCAATGGCCAGCGGTCTAGTAACTCATTGCTCCATCAACTGGGCTACGAAAGCTACCTACCACAACATAGGTTCCCATTTCACTTTCAATATTCACACAGTACCGCTAACAGCAATCTGAACCAAATCTATCTCAAATAGTCTCATTGGGAATAATGTTTTGTTTTAAATGCTTTTTCCAGTGAAATTAATTGTACTTTAATATCTGTGAAATATAATCATGAAATAACCTAAGCTGAATAAGTGACAGAAAGTTTTTCTTTAAGATTAACAGGCTTTATAAGCAATACCGTAGAGTGGCTGTAAATTTCGGTAGATGATATCGTTTATTTTGGCTTAATAAATTTTCAAGTAGTCAGTCAATGGAAACCGTTCTATAAATGCCATTTGAATTTCAAAGCAAACTGTCTGTAATATTGTGGGACTGTGATGAAGATCCTAATCGAAAAGTTTAATTGCGTTGAATACTTAGTTTGATGATTCATGAAAACTGTATATTTAAACAGTCCGAACGAAGTATAACGATATCTCTTCCGTTCAAGGACCTGATGAAAGCGTCTGTGGGTTTGACTACTAAATAAGTTATATTAAAAAGCATACATGTTTCTATCACTTTTCATTCATCAGTCAGATCAACCATCATGCGTTTATCTAGGTGTATGATCAGTGTTGGTATGATGGCGAGTCGTTCTTTTTTATTACACTAGCTAGAATTCAAAATTTCATGGGATATTTCGAAAATCCTTATTTCTCATGTTGTAGAGTTCTCTGTGAGTAGCTTGAAAACTGCAAGGCGTTATTTTCATGAATATTGGAGGTTGTAGTATCAGTTTACACAAATTCTTTGTGGTAGAACGCCAGACAGTGTAATAGCTAGTCTTTCATGTTTTCTGTTTCGATTTCACTGTGAGGGTGTGACTCACGTTCTCACCCTATTTGTATGAATAAATAAACTGTAAATAGAAAAGCCTGCGAGGTAATTTGAAGGGTTTAACAAATCCTAGTTTTGAGTAGTTCAAAAGGCACAATTTTTTCTCATTAAGATCCCTCCAAGCTTGAATTAATCTATCCCTTCGAAAACTTCACATCACATTCAACAGTCGATTAACACAGCCTAGATACCAAAGCAGAAATCAGAGCTTTGTCTGAAGACTCAATGCAATATTCGTTGAAATCGACACTAGGTGCAGTTCTATATGAAGCAAACACGGTTAGATCTTTCCAGGGAATAACACCATCATCTAACCTCCTGGGACTTCAAAAGTCTTCGTATTTGTACAGTTCTCTAGACGTTTGGCGTTCTTGTGACCCGTGCAAAGTAGTTTACCTTCAACAATGTGCAGTTCGCGTCAGGAAACATAAAGATTACCCGATAGAGTGTATTTTACCACTTAAAGGTAGCTAGGATTCAGATGGATGAATCTCTCTAATTCATTTTACCAGGCGATATTTTCTTCCCATAATTTATTATCAGTTCACAAGTTTTTCCGAAACATATCAGTTAGCTGTGTAAATATGTTTTCATCGTGTCTGTCTCATCACAGTTGACGTGAACATTTAAATGTCGCTTTTCAATGGTGGAATTTATGTTCTAAGAATAGTTAAGCCATATATAGTAGGTATCTACTGGTTGTTTTAGCATTCATTGTGCAAATGTGTCGGAATAGGGAAAATTCAAACTGGAAATAACATATATTAAACTCTACAACTACTTTATTGTTTACGAAAACTAGATTTTAAGATGTGCGTTATTAGAGATCCTGATGTTATCCATCTGAGCGAGCAGAAGAAAATGGAATGCAAATGCACTCAGGAACTTTGGGCACATTCATGCAGCAGACAATAAGCCACGCCTATTGTGTTTAAACCTATGACCCACTGGTTGAAAGTCAAGAGCTAAAACCGATGAGCTACAGGTCAAGTGAGCAAACTCAGACTGCTACTAAACGTAACCCATTCTCGGTAAGATCAGCAGGTTTAAGAACAATGGTAAACGTTTTCACACACACAAACACAATGGCTTCTCGTACAGTTGAACCTGAATGTTAGCCACATCATTCTCTGTTAAATCCAATATCTGTACCAGGTAATTATCATATTAAAATATGCATAGTTCAGCTCATAAATAGTAGCGCATATATAACAAGTTTACCACGCCTAGTTTACTAGCCGAGATAAGGAGGGAAGGTTCGGCGTGGGGCTAGCAATCCTACACTGCTAAAACAATCAAATAATTAAACTAACATTAAAGTAAAGAGGAAATATAAGATATAAACTTACTCCTCGCTGGAATCGGAGAGAAGAAATTACACCAGTTGGTGAAAGTCTTCGGGAAGCCAATTGGCGGATGTATCTTCACTCTCTCTCTATGAAAGCAAAAGTAAGCATAGGGACACGGAATGTCCGAACAATGTTTGAGGCCAACAAGGCTGCCTAGAATGCAAAATAAATAAGAATAAATGGCATAGAAGTGCTCAGTATCTGCGAGAACAGATGAAATGGAAGTAGACTCGCCGGACTGTTAACTAGAGAATCAATAGCCTACACCGATATTGTCACCTAGCCGAAAACCACGAGCACACCGAGTTTTGGAGTGGCTATCATGATGTCCCCAAAAGCATCGAAGACTCTGATGTACTGGGAACCAATCTCTTCCAGAGTCAGGATCATGACAGCAACATTCATATCAAAAGGGAGGAAAGTCATAATCACAAAGTGCTACGCTATGCACATACAAGTAATGCAGATGAAGAGAAGGAGGAATTTTACAGAAAACTGCAAACAGTAATGGACAAGAGCCCAGATGGCGAAATCCAAATACTTATGGGTGACATGAATGCCAAACTGAAAGCAGACATCACAAGAAGAGAACTAACCATGGGTCGAGGAGTTGGTGAAATGAACGAGAATGGAGAATTGTCTGCAGAATTCCGTGCATTCAACGATTTGGTGATGGGGGGTAGTGTGTACAAACACAAGAATATTCACAAAGCGACATGGATTTGATTTCACCAGGCACCAGGACACACTAAATATCAGGTCGACTTCATCCCAATCTGAAGAAAGGGAAGACAACCTAATGGACTCAAAATCAAGCAGGAGAGCAGATGTAGGTTCACACTACTCACTATCTATTGCAAGGAGTCTACCTTCAAAATCAAGTTGAAAGCCTTCAAAGAAGTTGGTGATAGACCACAGTTGAAGTTGGACGCCCAGAACAGAAAGTGAAGGATGAAACTCCAAAAGACATCTTCACGTCAGCCAGTCATCAGGAAAAAATGGGAGACATTGAGCAACATCCGTGAAGAAACCTGCATGGAAGAACACTGGAAGTCTTTGAAAGAGGTGTGAAAGGAAACCTAGATAACTGTTTTCGGAAGGAAGATGAAGCAAGGCAGGGAACGGATCTCGAGGGACCCATGGGAGCTGATAGAGGGTGGAGAGGAAGGGAGGAAAGGTAGCTGGAGATTGGAAGAAGAGCTACCTTGCCATACTCTCAAGCAAGGGAGACCTAAGTCTTTACAAAAAGTGGTGCGGAATCATTCCCCTATCCACCCTGAGCAAGCAAAATATTAAGCCGCATCATCGTGAAGAGACTAAAAGTTGCTCTGGATTCAAAATACGATGAGAACGGGCTGGATTCAGGAAGTATGAATCAATATGCGAACCAAATTGCAACGCTATGCATCATCATAGAACAGAACGTAGAATGGCAGTCAACTCTCTAAATCAACTTCATCGATTTTGAAGAGGCGTTCGACAGCGTTGACCGAGAAGTGATTTGGAAGACAGCTGCTCCAACACTACAGTTTTAGTGCCACAAACCTTTATCAACCTCATTCAACAGCTATATGCTACGCTATATGATGCTGCATGCCGAGTGATTGATAATGGGAAGCTGAGTGACGCCTTTGAAGTTTGGACAGGAGTAAGACAGGGCTGCTGCCCACCATCACTGATGATCTTCCTGGTTGTGGTCAACTGGACTGGACTGGATCATGCAACAAATAGTGGGGAGCTGCGAGAAGATGGGCATACGCTGGCTGGATCGATGAAAAGAGCCTAGAAGATTTGGATTTCATCGACGATGATGATTTATGCGTAATGTCTTGTCGTGCAAACTCGAAGATCTACAAGCGGAAACTAACGAGTTGGTAGAAGAGTCAGGGCAGCGAAGATGGGACTCCAAGTGAACGTAGAGAAGACAGAGGAGATGAATATACCCAGGCAACAAGAAGCACCGATCACCATTAACAGGAGGAAGCTCTTCCATCTACCTAGGCAACATCATTGTAACTACAGGTGTCGGCGCAGATAAGGACGTCAAAGGCCGGATAGGAAAGACAGCAAGACAGGCCTTCATTAACCTGAAATCAGTGTGGAGATCTACTGCACTTCACTCAGCATAAAGCGTGAACAAGATACGGATTTTCAACACTAATGTCAGTCAAGTCAGTGCTCTTATGTGATGGTTGGTGAAGTTGGCGCGTTACGAGAAGCATTTCCAACAAACTGTGGACATAAACGATCAACAGCTGCCACCGCCTACGCTCACTGGATACTGAAGAT